GGTCTCAGACAGACCTGGGTTCAATTCCCAGCCCGCACTTCTCCAGTGGGGAGAGCTCGAAACAAGCACAGTGCCCAAGGATGGGAGGCTGCTCTCATGAGTCTCAGCACCCCCACCCCCCAGGGGTAGCAGGCAGCCATTTCCGACCAGGACACTTCAGGCACAAAAACATGTTGTTTGAAACATCAAGAACGCATCGGTAAACAGCATTTAAAGAGACAGGTAACAGTGTCTAAAAGCACCTAAAGCCACTCAAAATGGCAGCAGTGCTTCCCTCTGGGAGTACGTCTTTGCACGCCTTTTGAATTCCCTCTTCACCACGTTTCTTTGATAAGCAAATATTATTTTTAATGAAAGTCAAATTATGTTGTTGCATACGCACATATACACTCCCATGCACACACATACACACATAAATTGGTATTAAAATAGCCAGTCTTGCTCAGCCGGCTCGTGGTTGAGCGTAGACCTGTGAACCAGGAGGTCACGGTTTGATTCCTGGTCAGGGGCACAGGCCCGGGTTGCAGGCTGCATCCCCCGTGTCTCCCACAGACGTTCCTCCTCCCTCCCCTGCAGCCCCGCGCTGCGTTGAGCATCTGCCTCGCATGTGGACGGGTGAGCTGTGCTGGAAGCCAGCCCGCTGTTTGTCCTGGGGAACGGCACAGTGAGCTCACTTTGCTGAAAAGGACCAGGTCCGCACTGCCCTGGCGGCTCTCTCCGGGGCAGGGTGAGCTGAAACTCCTAGAAAACCCGGAGAAAGAAAACAGCAGACGGTTTATCTGGCCCAGATCTGCAAGAGAAGACAGGGCGCATTGTGCCCAAGGGAGGCGCGCAGGCCGGGCACAGAGGGGACCGCCCCCCTGCTCCCCCCCCCCCCCCCGCCAGGCTGCCCACGCAGAGCCCAGCATGCCCCGGGGCCTGCAAGGCAAATGGACTCGGGGCCATCCCGTCAGGGGCTGAGGGCCAGCGGGCCAGCGGGCAAGGGGGCTGTCCCTCCTCCCCTGGTCCCGAGGAAGGAGCTGAGGTGGCCACACAAGTCGGGGGCAGAAGTTTCCAACCCCTCTTTTATTATTTCCTTTTTAATATATATTTTTATTGATTTCAGAGAGGAAGGGAGAGGAAGATAGAATCTTCAACGATGAGAGAGAATCACTGATCGGCTGCCTCCTGCACACCCCCTACTGGGTGGGGATGGAGCCCCAAACCCGGGCCTGTGCCCAGACCAGGAATCGAACCTGGAACCCTTCGGTCCGCAGGCTGATGCTCTATCCACTGAGCGAAATCGGCTAGGGCCCAACCCCTCCTTCTACATGACAGGAAGCGGAGGCCTCACGGCGGGGCAGTGCCCGGGGTGCTGTGGAAATGAGCTCCCCTAGCCTTCACCCTAAGGGCGGGCACCAATCTCGGCGCCAGGCCCACGGCTCTGTGGGCAAGACCACCACCTGTGGCCGCGTGGATGCCGCCGCCTGCCGGATGCGCTCCGCGTCCCCGTTTAACGGAAAGGAACACGGCGCCCGCGCCCTGAAGACTTGCTCCCAGCCCCCATACGCGGGGGCATTCGAGCCCTTCCCTGCGGCTCGCACACAGGCCGATGCACAAAGAGAAAGAGCCCTCCAGCCCGGCGGTGTGGGGCGGTGATGGAGCATCCGCCTATGAACTGGAGGTCACGGTTCGATTCCCGGTCAGGGCGCAGGCCTGGCTTGCGGGCTCCATCTTCAGTAGGGGGCGTGCAGGAGGCAGCCGACCCATGAGTCTCTCTCATCATTGATGTCTCTCTCTCTCTCTTCCTTCTTCTCTGAAATCGATAAAAACCTATTTTTTAAAAATAGCCCTCAAGTCAGAGCAGGAGTCCGGTGTAGGGGCCCAGGGAGTCCCTCCCACACCAGCCGGGGGCCCTGTGCTCCCCGGGGACATGGCCTGGGCTCCGGCTACGCTGCCCTTTAGACTGCAGAGGAGCTTCCCGGGCTGCGGGCAGCTGTCAGGTCGGGCGCTCACCGGGGAAAGGGTGAGGGGCTGCTTCCCGCACACACAGCTGCTTGAAGGGCAGCGCTTATGCAAACAGGCTTCGTCTGCACCTCCCCTCACCCACCCTCCCCGCCACTTCCTCCTTTCTCTCTGCTCCTCCTTCTCCTTTTTCTATTTCTCTTAAGTGTGTGCTGCTGCCCGGGGTGCACACGGCCCCTCCCGGCCCCCCAGGGCACACGGGGAGGCAGGCAGACAGGATCGGCCAGGCCAGGCCAGGACTCTCTCTCTCTAATGCGTTCCTCGCCTCCCCCGTTCTCTCCCTCCCCCATGGCAGCCTCTCCAGTGAGTGCCCATGAACACGTGCATGAACGTGGAGCTGGGAGGGCAGCTGCGTGCAGCCCAGTCTCACGCACAGCGGGGTGCCGGCTGGCGGCCTCGCTCCTGGCATGTCTCTCAGTCACTCAGCTCCGGCTGGCGGGGCTCCCGCTGCCCCGCGCTCCTCCATGCACCGTTTCCATGTCCGCTGTGTCCCTCCTGCGCCCCCCTCCCCGCCCCCCAGCTGGACGCCAGCTGCCTCAGCTCCTCCTACCACGAGGGAAGCTGTACCAATGCCACCGGAGTCCAGGCATCCGATGCCAAAGGGCTCGAGCGTAGGCGATGGTGACGGGGTCCTAGCTGCTCACGGTCCTCAAAACCTCAAAACGCGGGTGACATGTTCCCCAGGAGCCGCTGGGAGGAGGGGTCTTCCCGGAAGTTGGAGGCGAATCGCTTTAAAAAAGGAATGGGCCTAACCCGTCTGCTCAGGAGGGCCCTGCAGGACTCGGCCGGGTCTGGAGAACGGGGCGCCCACACCCTGCAGGCCCAGAGGGAGGGGCCTCCGGTGGAAGCGCTCAGGACGCCCACACATGGGCACCCAGGAGGTCTGAGGGGAGCGGAACCCACCTGTGTCCCCTTTAGGAGATGCCCCCCGCCTGCCAGGGACAGTGGGGCGTGAGTCAGAGCAGGTGGCACCGCCGTGTCTCTTGGTCTGGGGTCCCCCTCTCCGGCTCGAGGTCCCTGGCCCTGCTGTTCGCATCCCCCTCGGCCTGGGCCCCCTCCCGACCCTCCCACCCCCACCCCCAGGCCCCTCAGGGCAGCTGTAAACATTCCAGAGGGGCTGCGCAGGGGCCAGGAGCAGAGCCAGGCCAGAGCACTCCCAGGCCAGACTCAGAGCCCCTTGACCAGGGCCAGCTGCGCAGGAGATTCCAGAAGCTTCCAGGACCAGGCGCCTGGAGGCTCAGACCCGTCCACAGCCCGCTGGCTTGTCCGTGCTCCGTCTCAGGAAGAAGCAGGGAGCTCACCCGGGGCAGCGGCAGGGCGCCAGGTCCCGCGGCTGCTGAGACACACCCGCGGGACACACCCCCCAGGGGGCAGAGGCCGCCCCGCTGACCCATCGGCTCCCCGGTGGGCAGAGTGTGGGCAGGGGCTGCGCCGTCCTCCGCCGCCTGCCCGGCTGGCTCGGCAGCCCGGTGGGGCCCACGTAAGAATGAGAGACCCTCGAAGGGGGTCAGGGTTAATGTCCCCCGTCCCCGTTCATACACACGCTCCTCCCGAGGCCGAGGTCCCTGGGCCGCCCCTGGCGGGCTCCCCGGCCGGCTGCTCGGCCCCTGATTCACAGCTGGCTCAGACAGGAGCACCCCACAGGCGTCAGCCTCGGGCGCAGGGGGGCACCTCTACCTGGGCAGGGAGAGGGGAAAGCAAGGGCTTTGGGGTGAGGCTGGCCTGCATTGAGCCCCCACTTTGTTATGTGCCAGCTGGGAGACCTTGGGGAAGCCACTGCACCTCTCCGGGCCTCGGTTTTCCCATCTGTAAAATGGGGGTAATGATAAATTGCCAAGAACATTGGGAATAAGCAAGGCTGTGCGATGCCCTGGCCTCACCTGGAGAAATGCAGGCATCACCCCCGCCCCATCCTGCACACACCTCCTGTGCACCGGGCCCCGGGGCCCCAGCTCGGCCCCCAGTCTGTCCCCGACTCCCTGTCTCCCTCCCAGAGGGTCTCTGAAGACACACGGCAGATCCCAGGGTCTCCGGGGCGCTCCGAGGAGACACCAGGAAGGAAACCACAGGACAGACAGTCCCACCGAGGCCAAGAGGAGACACAGCTGGGGTGTGAAGGCGCAGCGGGAGGCTGTGGCTGCCGGGAGGGGGCAGGACAAGGACAGTGGGACGAGAAACATCCAGGGAGGCAGCTGGCCGTGGGGCCGGGCCAGGGCGGGTGCCACGCTAGGTCAGCGGGCAGGCTTGGGGTCTTCATCGGGGAGAGAGCTGTGATCCTGGCATGGCCTTCCAGGGGCCCCTCTGAGAAGCTACGGACGGTAGCTAGAGGGTGGGACCCCAGGAAGGCTGCCCCCTGAGGTCCACATGGGGGAGCGGGGTCTGGACGGGGCGGAACAGGGCCCATGGGAGACCCCTCTCCTGTGTGGCACGTGTCCAGCCAGGGGAGAAGGCCAGGCACCCCAAACCCAGCCCGGATAACTAGTGCCCAGACAGGGCGGGACAGCCCCGGCCCCCGGGCTGGCTGGGAGCCGGGAGCAGCAGCCCCTGTGAGTGAGGGACGCGGCTTCCATAGGGGGGAGATAATGACGGCACTGGAGCCCGCGCCTGGGCCTCGGGGCGCCTCTGGTTCCCAGATGGGGAGCAGCAGCCGCCCCTTCGCCGGCAGCCGGGCGAGGAAAGGTGACAGATGAAAACCAGAAGTGGGCGCAGCCGGCGGGACTGGCGTTCCTCTCCGCTGGGAGCGCTTTCAAAGACCCTCACCGCCCACCGGTAACTGGATCCCCGCCTCCGCCCAGCACCCTCCCGGGGACCCCCCACCCCCACCTCTGTGACCCCCCCCCCCCTCCCCGGCGACCGGCTCCCTCTGTGGGAATCTGCTGTGTCCGGCCCCCGCCTGAAATCAGAGCCCAGCAACTTTCCCTTTAAGACAGTCAGAGCCGAGGAGGCGGCCAAGCTGGGCTGGAGGTGGGGACAGAGGGAAGAAAGAAAAAGAGAAGGGGGGGGGGGGAGAGGCAGGAAAACTTTTTTCAGAGGAAAATGCAGGGTTTGTCCTCACCCCTGACGTCAGAGCTCGCTTCCATAAAACCCCCCAGGGCGGCGGGAGGAGCGGGGCTGGTGCTCCTGATGGGCCGGCTCCCGAGAGGCGGACATCTCCTCCCGGGCTGCCCGGCCGATGCGCGGCCGCTGAGCCCCCAGCATGAGGTGGCTCCTGCCCTGGACGCTGGCAGCGGTGACCGCAGCCGCCACCGCGGGCAGCGCCCTGGCCACGGTGAGTCTGCCAGCGGGGGCTCAGAGAGGGGGCACCGGCAGGATGCTTGGGGCCGGAGGGGGGGCCGGGGCGAGGCCGGGGTGGGGAGGAGGGCTGCTGGGATCAGAGAGCGGTTCCGGCAGGATGAGGGGCAGGGGGGGCGGGGGTAGCACCTGCAGGAACGTGCCCGCAGGTCCCGCACGCCTGCGTTCGCACCTGAGGCCACACAGAGAGGACGGGCCCTGGGGCCGGGGCCTGGCTCAGACCCAGCGCTGCCCAGACGGGCTGTGTGGCCCTGGGCTGGTCTCTCACCCTCTCTGAGCAGCACGCCTGTGAGCGAGTTGTGAATTGACGTCTGGAGTCTCAGGGATTGGAAACAGTGAGTCTCCAGGGGCCGGAGACACTCAGGAAGGGGCCGTGGAAACTGCCAAGAGGAGCAGGAGGGGAGAATGCCAGCTTTCAGCGCGAGGGCCACTGAGTAACGGCGCCCGGCGCCCGGGATGCTTCCTGACCTCCAGGGCGGGAGCGAGGGCTGCACCTCAGAGAAGCCGGGGGAGCCAGACACGTGGCAGAGGAGCCAGCCGGCCGGGGCTGGGCGTGGAGGCAGGCGCGGGTGGGCAGGGGGCCGGGGAGCTCTGAATCTGTCCCCGGGGCCAGAGGGAAAGCCGGGAGGCGGGCAGGCAAGAGGGGTATCGTCCCCTCACACGGCCAGCCTCCTTAGGGACCAACGTGCCCCGTTCACGGATGGAGAAACGGTGGCTCGGGACGCAGTAGCTGCCCTGCGGGCGCTGACTGAACAGGACCTGGGGCTGAGAGCTGATGGCCAGCGATGGCCCAGCTGCCCCGCAGGAGCTGGGTGATGGTGCTCCCCCAGCGTGGGGAGAAGCGTCCATCTGGTCCATTGCCCCGTCCCCCCCCCCCACCTGCACGGGCCCTCCTGTCCCGCAGAAAAAGGACAGTGACTGCATTTGCACAAATGGAAAAAAAAAAAAGAGAGAGAGAGAGAAAGAGAGAGACAGAGCAGGTGAGGGACTCGCCCAGGGCCCCCTAACGAAGTGCTGGCCAGGGCTCCAGCGCAGACCTTTTCCTGCCAAAGCCGTGCTTGCTTCCAGAGCTTTCCAAGTTCGGGGAAATGAGTATTTCCTGCAGAGCAGAGAGAGCCAAGCCCGCTGGAGGACAGGGGCTGGATGGAGAAGAGGTGAGGGTGTGGGGCAGCCAGCCTGAGGAGTGAGAAGGCAAGGCATTGGGAGGAACCAGTCTGCTGGGGCGGGGGGCGGGGGGCGGGGGACGGGGGTCCCAGGACACTGGAGCCCCAGGAGCTTGCCCAGAAGAGGGGCGCCGAGCCGTGAGCCCGGCCGAGGGGACACACACAGGACCCAAGAGTCCAGAGGGTCCCAGACAGCAGGATGGAGGTGCGATGTCTCCCTCTGTGCAGCCTCAGCCTGGGGGCCTCCTGTGGGAACCAGACTCACCCCGGTCCCTGCTTGTTCCCCACTCGGGAGCTCCCTCCGGGCCTCCTTCCCCGCCCCCCGCGGGGCTGTGGGACGCCTGGCACCCCGCCCTGCTTTATAGCGAAATTCCAGACACTCGCACATCCACGGCTGCCAGTCCGCGGGGTCCCGGCGGGAGGGATGTGGGCGGAAAAAGTGACTCCAGCCGCTCCTATGGAAGAAGCAGCCTGTGTGCGCTGCAGGGGCGCTTTGAGGAAGTGGGCTTGCAGGGGCATTCGCCCTGCGAGGTGAGACATTCACTCAAGGTGCTGAGGCCGAAGAGGAAGAGAGAGCTCAGACAGCGAGACACGGCCGCCGTGGGGAACCCGAGCCACGCAGGCGGGAGCAGGGTGGGATAAAGGGGCTGTGGGCAGACTCAGGCCTCCCTCTTTGCTATTCTTCCTTCTGCGGGGTCCGGTGCCCACCTGATGCTGAGAGGAAGGGGCTGTATTTGGTGAGCGCTGCCACATCCTGGGCCCACGGAGCTGCGTGTGTGGCTAAGCCCGTCCTCGGTCCACCCGCTGGGCATTGTGCAGGGCACCGTCCTCCTCTGGAGATGCAAACCCTGCAGCTCAGAGCAGTTGAGCCATTTGCCCGGGGCCACACAGCTAACGCTCAGTGAACCGAGGCCCAGCTCTTGGCAAGACAGCTGCTGCGCTCATGGCCCGTGCTCTTGGCAGAGATGAGAAGCACGTGCCCCTGGAAGGGCTCACGGGCTGGTGAGGCAGGGGACTGCCACCCACCCTGGGGATCGAGCCTGCAGCCAGGCCTGTACCCTGACCGGGAACCCATGTTCCTGTCTGTCTTTCCCTCTCTCTTTTCCACTCTCCCTAAAAGTCAATGGAAAAATATCTCGGGTGAGGAGTAACAACAAAGATTCTCATTACAATATTTGATAGTGATGATGGTGGTGCTGATGGTATTGATGGTGATGGTGCTAATGGGGATGATGGTGCTGATGATGACAGTGCTGATGGTACTGATGGTGATGGTATTGACGGTGATGTGTTGTTCTGATAGTGATGATGTATTGATGGTGATGGTGCTGATGGTATTGATGGTGATGATGGTATTGATGATATTGATGGTATCAATGGTGATGTGTTGATGGTGATGGTGCTGATGGTGCTGATGATGGTATTGGTGGTATTGGTGATGATGGTGATGGTGCTGATGGTGTCGATGGTATTGATAGTGATGGTATGATGATATTGATGTATCAATGGTGATGATGGTGATGGTGCTGATAGTATTGATGGTGCTGATTGTATTGGTGATGATGTATTGATAGTGATGATGATGATGGTTCTGATGATGGTGGTATTGGTGGTGTTGATAGTATTGATGGTGATGTGTTGATGTTGTGGTGCTGATGGTGCTGACGGTGATGATGGTATTGATGGTGATGGTAATGATGCTCTGATGGTATCAATGGTGCTGATGATGGTGATGTTGATATTGATGGTGATGATAGTATTGATGGTGATGGTGATGATTGTGCTGTTGGTATTGGTGGTGCTAATGATTCTTGTAGGTAAGACTTGTGTCCTCCAATCCTGAGTCAGGGTTCCCGGCTGCTGCCTAGGTTTCAGAGCCCTCCACACACGTTTCCATGAAAGCTGCAGCCCTGTTGGTGCCCAGGCCCTTTCTGTCCTGGAGGTGTGGTGGTAACTGCTTGGCTGTCCCCACCTCAGGGCTGCCTGGCAGCAGGGGATGGGTTTACTCTAGCTGAGGGGAGTGTGTGAGAAATCAGAGGGCTGTGGGGGAACCAATTCCAGGGCCCTGGGCCTGAATTCCCGGGGTGAATCCCAGGACGTGCACCTGAAGGGGCGACTTGAAGATCTGTTATGCATGCTTGACTTAAAAACCCTGAATTAGATTATTTTAACCTGACAACTCTCTTCCCCCTCCTCCTCCCACTCTCCTTCCCCTACCTCTTTCTCCCTCTCTTCTTCCTTCTCCCCCTCCCGTCTCTCCATGAGAGAAGGAGGTGGAGGATAAGGGAGATGAGATGGGAGGAGGAGGAGGATAACGGGCATTCCAGGGGATGATCAAAGCTGTGCCCGCCCATCCCAAGGCCCCCAATCTGGAGGGAGTCCAGGCTGGGGAGGACTGGGGATCTGCTAGGCTTTGATGTGGGGGTGAGGGGTGGGGTGTGAGTGGGGGTGGCAGCGGAAGTGAGATAAAATGAGAGGCAGGCCCACAGGAGAGGGAGAGAGGGCCCCCCTGGCTCTCTGGGAATCCCCGTGCATGCAGTGTGGAGTCTAGGAGAGAAGGAAGGCTAGGAGCCTGCCCAGGGCTGGAGGGGGAGAGGAAGTGGGGGATGAGGGAGAGGAACATCCTGAGGACGGGCACTCACAACCCCACCCATTGGTAGAGGGATGCTAGCTCATTGCTGGGCACCCGAGGGCACCCCACCGGCACCTGGGCAGAGACCACAGGGCCTCACCCAGGGGGTTCCCTTAAAGAGGGGTCCACCCTCCCCCTGGGGCTGCCCCCTGGTTCCACCAGAAAAGTGGGAAGGAAGCAGGGGAGTGCACGGGGAGGGCGGGTGAGTCACAACCATGGCCCTGGGTCCCGGCCTGAGGCCACATCCCCCCACTTTCCCCGGGACCCCAGATTTCAGGAAAGGGGTGAACTCACCCCGCTTCCAGACAGGGCAGCCCTATAGGCTCCATTGGGCTGGCTGGAGCCGTTCTGTCTCGATGCTGCCACCTGGTGGAGAATCTGGGTGGGGCCGCCCCTAGCCACCTCTACTCAGGCAAGCCAGGTGCTGGGTCCTCCCCTGCTGTGCTGGGAAAGCTGGCACAGGGTCTGCCAGGCACAGTGCTGGCACTGAGGAGGCAGAAAGAGCAGCTCGTCCCTTAAAAGCCTCCCAGAGGCCCCTGTGTCCTGTTCAGGGACCCTTGTTAGCTGGGGCCGATCCCCCGCCCCTTGGCATATGCCCTGTGACCCTGCGCTGTGGTGTCCTCCCCGGAGGAGACCCTGTTTGGGAGCGGCTGGGGAAGGGAGTCTCTGGGTAGATGCCCAGCCGCTTCCTCTGTTGCTGCTGGCAACACCGAGTTTCCTCCAAACCTTCCCTGTCACTGCCGACTCAAGGGCGCCTCTGGGCTTATGGGTTTTGCCAAAGAACCTATTTCTTTTCCTTTTTTAAAGATATTGTTATTGATTTTCAAGAGTAAGGGAGGGAGGGAGAGACAGAAACATCCATGCTGACTGAGAATCATGGATCGGCTGCCTCCTGCACGCCCCACACTGGGGATCAAGTCCGCAACCTGGGTATGGTGTGCTGACCGGGAATCGAACCGGGGCCTCCTGGTTCCTAGTTGGACGCTCAAGCCCTGAGCCACGCCGGCCGGGCCAGGCACCGCGTTCTTAAACAAGATCAGGTGTTCTCCTTTAGCCTAACAGCAGGGCGCCCCGGGAGCTCCTTCTTGTTGTCGGTGGAGACGGACGCGGCCGAGGCCCGAGCTCTGGGTGTCTCTCCAGCAGGCACCTCCCGCGGGGGCGCGACCCTGAAGCTGCGGGTCAGGGGGCAGAGGTCAGGGTGCCATCGTGGGGTGACCTCGGAGCCGCAGCTCTGACGTGAGGCTCACAGTTCCTCAGGGCGAAGGGGGGTTCCGGAGTGACCAGAGACCCACCCCCCAAAGGGCAGCACAGGTACGCGCTGCACAGGGCCCCCTGGCCCCGCGCCGAGGGTGGAGCTGCCGCTGGCCTCCCGAGCCAAAGGGCCAGGGAGCCGGGCCTGGGAGCGGGCGGGCATCCCCGGGGAGTCAGGGAGCCGAGGGGCTGAGGCCTCTTGTCTTTGTTCTTGGGCAGAGACGCTTCTCCTGCTGCTTTTGGGGTGAACAAGGCGAGTCCATATTTCTATGGCAACGGTCCATGTCCCAGGGCGAAGGGCAGGTGGACCTGCCTCGCCCCCTGGACTTTAAGGGCTGATGTCCTGTGTGTGTGTGTGTGTGTGTGTGTGTGTGTGTGTGTGTACAACTATGCATGTGAGAGCGGGGAGGTTTTTCACCACTAGATGGCGCCAACTGCAAGGGCCTGGCTCAGTGGATCCAGCCAGCCCGTCCCTCCCCTGGGCCAGGGGGACCCTGAACCTCTTATCTATCAGGGGGTCCTCTCTGCTGCTTCCTTCTGGGCATTTATTATTATTATTATTATTATTATTATTGATTTCAGAAATGAAGTGAGAGGGAGAGAGAGAGAAAAACATTAGAAACATCCATGATGAGAGAGAATCACTGATGGGCTGCCTCCTGCACGCCCCACACTGGGCCGGGAGCCCGCAGCCCAGGCCTGTGCCCTGACGAGGAATGGAACCCTGACCTCCCGGATCACAGGTGGACGCTCAGCCACTGAGCCACGCCGGCCGGGCTGTGGTTGCTTTTTATGATTTGAGGTTAGATGTCATGCCGCGCTTTTGAGGAAAAGCAAACAGGCGCAGGCGCAGGCGCACACCGGCCTCCCAGGTGGCCATGGGCGGGCACTGCCAACCCCCAGGGCGGTGCGGTCCCGACAGCTAGCCTGCCTGAGACCCCGCCTGGAGGGGTCCCACCTCAGATCCAGGCTTGTCTTTTTGACGGCCAAGGCCTTGTGCCTGGTGAATCCATACTGACTGCCCTTACGATGTGCCGGGCCCCGAAAATGGGTCCCGCCGATCCGCATCTCAGCGCAGACCGCCGCTCCGGGCCTCTGGCCTGGCAGCCACGCGCACGCAGTGGCTCGCTCACCAGGCAAATGGGAGGGCCCGGAGCTTCGGGGCTCCCCACGGAGGCCAGCACCCTGCCCCTGGCCTTGGGTTGTGATGCATCGCAAGAAACTTTCAGATTTCTCTGGGATTGCCTAAGGCTTCAGGGAGACGGAGTTCGCGCTGTGCAGGTGCCGCTGAGTGGCTGGGCCGCAGAGAGCGGGGAGAGCAGGGAGTGGAGAGAGACGTGGGCTGGGTCACCCTGGGCCTGTCCCTGTCCCTCTGGGTCTCGGTGTCCTCCTCGGCGAAGGGAGGCAGACTCTGCCTGGACATCACTGCATCTGCTGGTCAAAGAACGCGGTGCGGCCCCGCTGCTGGGTCCACTCCGCTGGGTGGAGCCATGGTCGGCAAACTGCGGCTCTCCAGCCACAGGCAGCACTTGCGCCCCTGGAGCGTGGCTCTTCCACAAAAGACCACGGCCTGGGTGGGTCTGTGTTGAAGAAGTGGCGTTAGAAGAAGTTTAAGTTTAAAAAAATGTGGCTTTCCAAAGAAATTTCCGTTGTTGTCCTCTTGGTATTTGGCTCTGTGGACTAACGAGTTCGCCGACCACTGGGTTAGGGCATCGGGCCTGAGAACAGAAGGGTGGTGGGTTCGATTCCTGGTCAGGGCACATCCCTAGGTTGCAGGTTTGATCCCTGGTTGGGGAACAAACGGGAGGCAACCAACCCCCATTTCTCTCACACATTGATGTTTCTCTCCTCCCTCTCTCTCCTTCTCTCTGTCCCTCTCACTCTTCCCCTCTTACTCTCCCCCCCTCTCTCTCTCTTCCTCTCCCTCTCCCCCTTCCCTTCTCTCTCTCCCTCTCTCTCCCCCTGATTTAAAACCATATCCTCCGGTGAGGGGGGAACATGCTAGAAAAACGTAATTGGGTTCAAGCCTTTTGACCACCACACAGGGTGATGGCAGCCCCTCATCTCTGCCGTTCCCCCCGCAGGCCCTCTCCGCGGCCCCCACGGCCATGGCCTCCACGCCCGCACCGCTGGAGGACACGTCCTCGCGCCCCCAGTTCTGCAAGTGGCCGTGCGAGTGCCCGCCGTCCCCGCCGCGCTGCCCGCCGGGCGTCAGCCTGGTCACCGACGGCTGCGAGTGCTGCAGGGTGTGCGCCCAGCAGCTCGGGGACAACTGCACCGAGGCCGCCGTCTGTGACCCCCACCGCGGCCTCTACTGCGACTACAGCGGGGACCGCCCGAGGTACGCAATAGGAGTGTGTGCACGTAAGTGACCTTCCCTCCTTCCGCCCACCGTCCCCCCAGCTCCGCCCGGGCCTCCCCCGGAGAGGGTGCCCCACACTCCCCAGCCGGTCCTCAGAGGCCAGAGGCAGGGCTCCCCGAGGAGGGACCGATGCCAGCCTCCCTGTCCTCTCCGGACCCGGGGCACCTCCAGGCCGGACTCCAGGGAGGCTCTGCCAGGTTTCCTCCTCTTAGGGCCGGGCCGGGCCCCTCTGTGTGAAGTGCCAGTCCAGTGGCCGTGGTGCTGGTCATGAAGGAAAATCAGGGCGCCTTGGACTCCAGCCCTGTGATACCGGAGGGCAGCGTCGCCCGCCTGCGTGGGCGCGCTGGACAAAGGGGTGACTCACGTCCCACGTGGGAGGGGCAGGATGGCGTGGGGCTTTATCGCCTTATCCAGGGCAGCCTGCAATTCAAAACCTGCGAGCTGCTCATTGGATTGTTTATTTCTGGAATATTCCATTGAATATTTCCAGACCGTAGCTGACCCCGTGGGAAGCAAAACCGTGGATAACAGGGGCTGCTGCACACCGTCAGCCACACACTCTCTCCCCAAGGCGGCTTCGGGAATACGGCCGAGCCTTCCGGACCCCTCCAGGCAGGAGACCCCATCGCTGCCCGCTTCCAGGCTGCTCTTCAAGGTCACTGGGAAGGTCACTCCGTTCTCGGTGACGACCCTCCTCTCTCAGCTGCACGCACCCCTCGCCAGGCGCCAGGCGCCGGGCACCGCGCCTTGTAGACATTCTCTCCCGGACTCTCCTGCCTGCCCCTCCCCCAGAGGCCTGGGAGCCACCTTCCTCCCCCCCCCCCCCCCGTCCCCCTCTGTGTCTCCCACGCCCCGCTGCCCTCACTGCAGCCCCAGCGCCCCCATCTCAACCTCTGTGCTCCCGCTGCAGCGGTGAGAAAGCTGCCTGCAGGGGTTTTCACAGGCCTCGCTCCCAGAGGCCCCTGGTCACGGAGCTTCGCAGACGGGGAATAAATCAAGTTCAGCAAGTGTCACAGACCAGCTCAGGGGTCGTAAGCGCCGTGCCCATGGCCACCCCCAAAGGAGAGCTGGCGGGGAAGCCTTTGCTTTTCAAAACTGTTTGCACAATGAACTCCTTTGAGGAGGTAGATTTTTACCCACCTCAACACACACTCACAGATACACACATCTCATGCATGCATATGTGTGAGCACACACACACTCACAGATACACACATCTCATGAATGCATATGTCTGAGCACACACACTCACAGATATGCACATCTCATGCATACATGTGTGCACACACTCAGATACACAGATTCCCATGCATACCTTTGTGCACACATGCACACACACATCTCATGCATACATATGTGCACACACACCCCATTCCTATGTATGTGCACACACACCAATACACACAACTCATGCATACATGTGGGCGCACACACACACACACACACACACACGCACACTCACACTCACTAGTGCTCTTCCAACCGTCCTCCCAGAAGCGCTGAGTCCATGAGGCCTCGTCCCGGGAAGAAGCCCAGGCCTGACCGTGAGAGAGGGCGGCCCCGGGGCCCGCGGAGAGAGAGGAAAGCAAGTCCCTAAACAGAAACCCTCCTCCCCGCCGGTGGTCAGCTCCACCCAAGGCGCCCCCAGAGGCTGGGCCTGCCTGGAGACTGCCCACAACCAGCTCAGGACGAGGCGGGGGTAAAAGTAGCGTAAACATGTGCCACCGAGGGGCAGGACGGGACGGTGGCCCGGGGCCAGGGCGAGCGGTGGGGCAGAGCTGGCCGGCCGGTCCCGGGCATCAGCCGCCGTGGCAGGCAGGAAAGGGAGCCCGGTCTTGGCTGTTCTGTGCGGTTTCCAAGAAAATCCAAACTCCAGGTTTGGGTATAATTTGCACATGTTGGCAGCGCACTTTAGAAAAGATGTTTGGAATGCCCGGGGCGCCAAGCTAAACACGGCTGCCAGCGCCTCCGGAGCCGCTCCTGCTATTTCTGTGCGCAAACACGGCTGGTGGCTGTGATGTGGGCGCTCAGGCCGGCGGGCGGCTGTGGCCGGGATCGCAGAGGCCAAGGCAGACGAGGGCTTTGGGTCCTGGCTCTGGGCTTGCCTGCTACGTGACCTTGGGCACGTCCCTTCAGGAGCTTGTTCAGACCAGCCCGTTGCTGCAGCCTCTGACGAGAGAGCTGTTTTAGCTCTTCCATGTGGGAGCCATGCAGCCCTACCCAGGTCATCCTCGGAGGAGGGACCAGTCGGGGTCCAGGTTCAGACTCCCTGTGCGAAGGGGAGGAAGGGGAAGACTCGCCAGGCATGGTCTTTGGAGCTAGAGAACTTGAATTCAATTCCGGCACCGGAACTAACCAGGGTGATGATGTTAGGCTAGCCACGTGACCTTGTAAGTGTCGCTTTCCAGGGAAAAAGTGACAACTCATGCCTCTCTCTTTAGGTGTGTGAGAGGCTAAGTACCTGATCCATGGCAGGAGCCCAATGTGAAGATTGGGGCTCACCCCACCTCCCATCCATCCATCATCCATCCATCCATCCATCCATCATCCATCCATCCATCCATCATCCATCCATCCATCATCCATCCATCCATCATCTATCCATCCATCTATCCATCCATCCATCCCTCATCCATCCATCCATCCATCATCCATCCATCATCCATCCATCATCCATTCATCATCCATCCATCCATCATCCATCCATCCATCTATCCATCATCCGTCCCCCCACACAATAACAGGGTTACGACCAGGCATGGTGCTGCCTGCCCACCTCATGTAACTCTGGGACTGCCCAGCTCCCAGCCCCCCTCCTGCTGCCCCATTCGCTCTGTGATCTGTTGCTTCCCCCTGGCCACCCCCACTACAATGGAAGCGCCAGGAGGTGTGGGTTTTGCCTGTTTGGTTCACGCCGGGATCTTCAGCGCCTAGAGCAGCCATCAGTCTGCACAGCCTCGGTGGGCCTTTGTTTCCGAGTGTTCCCATGGGTTCTCCCTGCCTGCCCGCTGCCAGCCGTGAGCTCAGGGGCACGGGTGTCAGTGCTAGGCTCTGTGCCAGGTGCCGGAGACAGGAGCAGAGCTGGCCGCCCAGTCCCCCCCACCCCCCATGCTTTACCCTCTGACATTGGCAGCAGGTGTGACTCAAGGAGGAGCAGCTGGAGCTGAGACGGCACTGCCCGCCCTCTGTCCAGGCCCCTCGCGGGTTGGGCCCTGCCCTTGCGTCCCGCCCCCTGTGGGTGTGGACGCGGTGCACCATGGGAGGTGACCTTGGGAGGGGGGCTCCTGGGCCTGAGCGCGCCCTGTGTCCGCAGAGGTGGTCGGCGTGGGCTGCGTCCTGGACGGCGTGCGCTACGGCAACGGCGAGTCCTTCCAGCCCAGCTGCAAGTTCAACTGCACGTGCGTGGCGGGCGCGGTGGGCTGCACGCCCCTGTGCCTGCGGGTGCGCCCGCCGCGCCTCTGGTGCCGCCTCCCGCGCCGCGTGCGCCTGCCCGGCCGCTGCTGTGAGCGCTGGGTGTGCGACGACCACGCCCGCAGGCCGCGCAAGCCCGCGCCGCGCCACGCCGGAGACCTAGGTGGGTGCTGCCGCGGGTGCTTCCATGGATGCTACTATAGGTGCTGCCCTGGGTGCTGCTGTGGGTGCCGCCAGGAGTGCTGCTATGGGTGCTGCTGTGGGTGCTGCTGTGGGTGCTGCCGTGGATACTACTATAGGTGCTGCCCTGGGTGCTGCCATGGGAGCTGCAGTGGGTGCTGTCTAAATGCTGCCCTGGGTGCTGATGCAGGTGCTGTTGTGGGTGCTGCCGTGGGTGAGGCCTGGGGAAGGCAGTCTCCTCTGGCCCTGCCTTCCCAGGATGACCTGGGAACAGCCTGGCTCTGCCTGGCCCATGGGGTCCTGGGAGCCTGAGCTGAGGGAGGGCTTGGTGGAGAGCAAAGGCAGGCAGGTGGGTTCAGTATGCCCCCACTACAGACGGGGAGGGGAGGCCAGGCCTGCGGACCGTAATTGCTTGTGACGGCTGTGCCTGTGCCAGCCTCCCTGACGCCCACCCACTAGATGCCAATGGCACCTGCCGCTCAAGTAGTACCAGCCCCAACGGCCCCAGACCTGGGGGGCAGGGGGTCCCCCGAGCCACCGCCATGTGTGGCGAGGAGAGAGAGCAGCTGAGGGCGGCAGACCCAGAGGCAGGCGGCACAGGAGGGTTTGCAGAGGCCGAGAGAGAGAGTTTCCCGAAAGAACAAGCAGGAGAGCAGGGGGGAGGGGGGCAGAGGGGCGGGGGTCTGGCTGGGCCAGGCAGGAGGGCGGTCCCCCCACCCCTCCCCCTGCTGGGTCCGGGATGGCACAGGCTCTCTGGGGGGCTGGGTGTCCGGGGCTGAGCCAGCCCAGGAAGGAGCAGCTCTGTGGGGAGGACCTGACAGGAGGGCTGTGTCCCAGGCAAGCCCAGCAGCAGCCTCATGCGGGGGGCGGGGCGGCTGTCTGCCCGCTGCTGTGTGTGGCCCAGTGACCCCATTCTGACCCAACACCAGCAGAGCCCCTGCCCGCCTCCTGGTGACCCAGAAACCAAAGCCTTCATCCTCTCAGGCAAATCCCCCTCCTGCCCTCCCTCCGCCTCACAGCCCAGCTCACCCAGATCCCCTCTTCTGTCCTCCCCCTTCCCTCCCCTAAGGTCCCCCCCCCTTCCCCTCGCTGTCCCCTATCCACCCCTCCCTGCATCAGGCAAATCCCCCTCCTGCCCTCCCTCCGCCTCACAGCCCAGCTCACCCAGATCCTCCCCTCCTCTGTCCTCCCCCTCTTCTCCCCCCTTCCCTCCCCTACGGCCCCCTCCCTTCCCTTCCCCCTCCCCCATCCCTCCCTCCCTCCTTCCTGCATCAGTGTTCCCTGCACACCTGCAGCCGTGTGGGGCTGGGTATGAGGCCTCAGCCTTCCCATTTGGGATCCCATTAGATGGCTTTTCTTTCCTATTTTTGTCTCACCCCTCCATTTTTATCGCCTTTCTCTCCCAGACCCTTTCTCTCTCCCTCTCCCCCCCACCCCACTCTCTCTCCATCTGTCTCCTCCCCGCTCCCCTCTGCCTGCTCTGCAGTGAGACGGGCTTCCTCCTGGGTCTGTCTGGGCCCCTCGGCCCCTCCCGCTGTGGGCTCTCTGCCCCGCCTCCGCCCCAGCTCACTGTGTTCCCCATCCTCAGGCGCCAGAGCGAATTCTAGGTGCCAGGAGAGAGACATTAATGGTGTGTGTTGGCCGATGGTTAAGAAATCACATGAGCTCACATTGCCGGAGCGCTCACTGAGGGCCAGGCAGCCTGGGCAGCCACCATGCCAGCCCTCTTTCCTCCCACAGCCCAGGAGGGGGCGCTACCATCACACACACACACACACACACACACACACACACACACACACACAGGTGGCCTGGCTCAGACCTGCGCCCACACACTGTGTGTCCCCTCAAACACCAAGCCCCCGGCCTCAGCCAGATGAAATGCTGGGTCCAGGGCATGGCCACTCGCCTTGGACCTTCCCCCAGGGAAACATGACCTCTGAGGGCAGGAACAGGCTCTCGTGGCTTTCGTTCCCAGCCCCAAGCAGACGCGGACACGGGCTCAGTCAGCGTCTAGATTACCTTCATCGCCTCCCGCACCCCTACCCTGAGAGAGAGGCCGCTGGTATTGCTTCCGCGAGGAGGCGGGGCGGGCCCAGCTGTGTGGGGTCCCACAGCGGTAGGCGGTCAAGCGGGATTGGAACACGGTCCACCTGTCCCCAGAGAAGAGGAGAGACTCAGAGCCAGGCCCCCTCCCTCCTAACCCCCTAAGCCGACGGGCCACCTCCATCCTCGCCGAGTTCCAGGGCCCTCGTGGCTGCAGTGGTGGGGAGTGGAGAGGGTTTGGGGGTGACGGAGGCTGGGGACTCACAGGGTCCCGTGTCCATCTGCAGCGATCCTGGGTGAGGCCGAGCCCTGGCACGGGAACTGCATCCCCCACACCAGCCCCTGGAGCCCCTGCTCCACCAGCTGCGGCCTGGGCATCTCCACACGAGTGTCCAACGCCAACGCCGGCTGCCGGCCTGCGCAGGAGAGCCGCCTCTGCACCCTGCGGCCCTGCAGCCTGGACGTCCGGCCACGCATCAAGGTGGGTGCCCTCCCCGGGCGGGCGGGTCGGCGTCTGGGGCTCCACAGAGGAGCTGGGCGCTGGGCCGGGCTCCCCAGCTTCCTCAGGGGGCCACTGTGAAATGGGAATGAGGAAGCCCACCTCCGAACCGTTATCATCAGGGCCACGTGTGGGCGTCTGTGACTCTCACTGAGCGGAAGTGACGGTGGTGATTGTGTTAATGGCACCAGGGTCTCTCTGAAGCGGACCCGGGGGCCTCAGAATTGGTCCCATGGTGGTTCCTCTGCCCCTGTGCACCATGGGCACCTCACGCCAGCCACGTGGGTACAGGAGCACTAGATGGAGGTGGGGACGCTGGCATCAGACCTGCGGATGGCACATGATGGTGGCCAATGTCCCCGCGTCTCTGTGGCCCAGGCCCCACGTCCATAACATGTCGGGGCCCTGAGACCTCCTTCCCGGTGCCTGCCACGTCCCGGGCACGGAATCACACCACAGACGCCCCGAAAGAGCCCTGCTCTTGAGTGGCCCAAGGGAGAGACAGAGCAGCTTTTACTTTTTAAAATATATTTTTATTGATTTCAGGGAGAGGCGGGGAGAGGGAGAAAGAGAAACAGAAGCATCCATGACGGGAGAGAACCATGCATAGGCTGCCTCCTGCACGCCCCACACTGGGGACAGAGCCCGCACCCCGGGCCTGTGCCCTGACCGGGAATCGAACCGTGACGTCCTGGTTCACAAGTCGGCGCTCACCCACACCAGCTGGGCGAGCTGCTTTTAAATAGCACCAGCCCGGCTGAGTGAGTGGGTGTGAGAGGCTGTGGGAGGCAGAGGAGGGGGAGGGGGATAAAGCGTGTGCCCGGTCACCGCTAGCTGGGCACGTGGTTGATGGGGGAGCTGCAGGGATGTCCTGTGGGCAGGGAGGAGGGGGGGGGGGGGGGGGGGGGGGGAGGGAAGGAGGGACACTGCAGACTACCAGGCAGGACCTGAGCAAAGCCATCCCGTCCGTGGGCCTCCGTTGACTCCTGTGTCGCACGGGGGGTCTTGCTGGCCTGGGGGAGGGCCTTCCCAGCTGGAAGGTGCTGTGGCTCTAAAGGAAAGGGGGAGAGAGAAAAGGGACCGTGAGGCCGGGGGGGGGGGGGGGCATTGGCGGGGGTCCGTCCTCAGAGCATCCCACCTGACACCCCTTTCCCGCAGGAAGGGAAGAAGTGTCTGGCCGTGTACCAGCCGGAGGCGCCCTTGAACCTCACCCTGGCCGGCTGCGTCAGCACGCGATCCTACAGGCCCAAGTACTGCGGGGCCTGCACGGACGGCAGGTGCTGTGTGCCCTACAAGTCCAAGACCATCGACGTCGCCTTCCGGTGCCCCGACGGGGCCGGCTTCTCCCGCCGGGTCCTGTGGATCAACGCCTGCTTCTGCAACCTCAGCTGCCGGAACCCCAACGACATCTTCGCCGACCTGGACCTCTACCCCGACTTCGCAGAAATCGCCAACTAGGCGGGCACCCAGCGCAGGGCTCTGGCCTGGCCCAACACGTGCCAAGCAGCCGGCCCTCGGCGGCCCGGGATGGCCCCCCCTCCCCCCCAGTCCACTTCCCATTCATCTCCGGGGACCCTGACCCCGACCCCGGGCCCCTGCCCGGTCTCTGAGCACCCCATGGCGCGCTGTGCGGCTGTCCGGCCCACCTGTAGGTCCTGTTCTTGGCAGCACCCTGCGTGCCCTCCACAGGAAGTGCCTATCTCCATTGGTCTGGGCCACCCCGGCCCTGGGAGTCACTGGGCATCCTGAGTCCCATGGAGCGACTCAGCTGGACATTTGATCTGGCCGATTCCCCCTGGAAATGCCAAACATGAGACTCCATGGGCCCACCCAGCAGGAGCGATGGGATGGAGGACAAGGGGTCAGCCTATGGCTCGGGCCATGCCGAGTGGCCCTGTCATAGTTCTGTCCACAGACCCCAAAGTAGCTCTGACCCCAAAGATGTACATACCCCAGAGTCACCAAACATCTGCCAAGGGGGGTGAAGGGCTCCTGGGCTCAGCGTTTTCGTGGAAAACTCTGTCTGTGAACCCGGGCGTTGCTGAGGCCAAGTTCCTCTTTGCTCCTGCACTGTGAGGGGGACTCGCCGGGGTCAGTTCCATTAGAAATGCTATTGGGTAAATTTCAGGGCCGAGTCCCCCAGTCAGGGCTCCCAGGGCAGAGCAAGGTCAGCCGATGTTCAGATGGAGCAACGGGCACAGCACACATCCGCTACTGACCCCCAGGATGTCCATCGGGGGTGAGCCAGGCTCTTCCCCAAAGCCAGACCCCCCACACACACACCCGCCTGGGGGCTCCGGGGAGGTGGGGGACCCCCTGGCCTCGCCAACCCCGGAGAGTGGTGTCCTGGGGGGACCTTCCTCTGCCCTTAAGGAGCCTCCACGGACGCCCAGGCCAGATCCTCCTGCAGTGACCAAGGTCCAGGCCGGGGGAGACGTCAGGCCAGGGGGTGGGTTCAGCCTGCACCAGCCTGGGTGGCAAGGGCCATGGGCCCAGACATATCATCACTTTCTGCCTCAGTGACCCACGTCACAGACTTGGGGTCCGCCAACCCATACGACCCCGTCCTGACCCCCCAAGACCAAGGTTTACCAGTTGGTTAGAAACAGAACCTTACTTAATGGGGACCAAGAGCCAAAGGGGTTGGAGCCAACAGCACGACAAGGCTGTCCCCGTGGCGAGGCCAGCCCTCACTTCGTTAGGGTACTAGAACTGGTGACTGTTCTCTTTTCTCTGCACCTGCCACGTGCCAACGTCCCCAGGGCCCCCCACGCACTGGCTCACGGACACTCCGAGGCCTGTTGCAAAGTGCCCATTGTGACTTCTGTTCTTGCAAATGTGAAACGGGAGCTCGGAGAGGTGAGGACATGGGGCCACCGCCGCCCTGCTGGCCTGTGGGGGGTCGGGATTGCGACCCCAGCTGACCGGCCTGATCACCTGGATGTTTTTCCTTCTCTCAGAGCTCGGCGCTCTCGTTCTGTCTCTCCGTCCTTCCTGTCTCTGGGCCTTTTCCAAGAGAGGAGACCCTGGCTCTCAGGTCACTTAGGTACCGAGGGCCCAGAAACACATGAGATGGACACGATCCCCGCCCGCCCTCCCCCACCCCCCATGGACCGTCCCTCCTGCGGATCCCAGCCCGGGCCCCACACTCACGGGGGGTTTGGTCTGCCCAGCACGGTACCCCATGTGATGTGTAGTGAGGGTTTGCGCGGCAGGGGAGACAAGTCCCTCAGAGAGATCGCCTCACCTGCCCCTGAGCTCCTTGGGAGAGGGAGAGGGACACCCAAGACCAAAGAACCTGCTCCCCTGCCCTCTCTCATTTAAGATAGCCCTGGCCTCTCCCCATCTTAGAAATAAGGCAGCTGAGGTTCACAGAGGTCCGGTCCTTGCCTCAGCCTCTCCCCAGCTACTGGCCTGCAGACCAGGATGGCGGACCAAGGTTGCTGGGGTGCCTGAGCGCCTCTCCCAACAAGAAGCCCAGGGCACGGCGGCAGCTGCTGTTTTCCCTGGGCAGGGCCTTACAGGAAGTAGCTGCCGTTTTCATTTGCCATCACAGGAAGCCGGCTCCAATGACATTATTGTTAGCAACCTCATCAGCATGGTGCCTTGTCCACAGAGGGGTTGCGGGAAGTTATGAGGTCTGTGACTGTCCTATTGCGTGACGTTATTGCTTTTGAAGGACTTGCCTCGATCTAAACTAACTGCCAGGATAGCCCAGCCCGGCTGGGACTCATGTGTGGCCGAGCAGATCAATGGCTTGTGACTGCACATATCCACGTGGTCAGTATATATGTATATATATGTATATGTATATATCGATTTTCAAGCTGTGACTTAATATTTCACTATTCCTCCTGCTTGGCTTCTAAGTGACCAAGCAAACATATAGTGCCCTGACCGGTTTGGCTCAGTGGATAGAGCATTGGCCTGTGGACTGAAAGGTCCCGGGTTTGATTCCAGTCAAGGGCATGTACCCTGGTTGCAGGCACATCCCCAGTAGGGAGTGTGCAGGAGGCAGCTGATCGATGTTTCTCTCTCATCGATGTTTCTAACTCTCTATCCCTCTCCCTTCCTCTCTGTAAAAAAAAAATCAATAAAATATGTTTTAAAAAAAAAATAGAAAACATACAGAAAAATGCCTCAGCCTGTTCCAGCCTGTGGGTGTTCCTCACTTTCCTGTGACCTGAGCTGCGTAAACGTGTTTGCTCAACCTGAAGGACTCCACGTGCTCGTCGCTCCCGTTCCCCCTTGATGGCTTCCCCTTAAAGCACAAACCACCAGCAAAGCGACTTACGTGGGTTTCCTGGTGCCGCCGGTGACCACGGGGCAAGGACGAAGCCTCGGGGAGGGACACCCGCAGGCAGGCGGCCGCGGAAACGGCGGGAAGTGAGGAGGTGCGCCTGGAGTCGGGAAATGCGGCATTCCGGAGAGACCAGCGCTGCCAAGTGCCCAGACACCTCACTGAAATACAGACCGGAAATGTTAGCATTCGTTCATTCATTCATTCATTCATTCCTTCCACCAGTCACCTGCTTCACTCTGAAGGTTAAGAAGCAGGCAGCTGAGATGCCCCTGTTCTCCACCCCTGAACCCCGCTGAGAAAATAAATGCAGAGGCCTCTCCTGCAGTCAAGAGCCACATTCTAGGGGAGCCTGGCTTCTCTCCGGATTCACTCCTAGCCCTAGCCTGCTTGACTCAATGGGTAAAGTGTTAGCCTGTGGACTGGAGGGTGCCGGTTTGATTCTGGTCAAGGGCATAAATAAATAAATAAATAAATAACCAACCAACCAACCAACCAAATAAATATACTTCTAAGGGGATGGGAGACTGGACACCAAGCCCCTGGACATAGACTGTATTCCGTGAAAAGGGTTTCCAGACCTCGGTGCTAAACCTGAGTGCTGGGCCTTTCCCGCAGTTTTAACAAAGTGATTTCTTAGTCCAGCCCATGGAAGGGGAGGGGACGCTGCTAGAATAGATGCAGGCTCATCCACAGCGGGGAGAAAACCCTAGCTCACCAGCCGAGGAAACAAAGGGACCGAGAACTGGATAGAAACCACGGGGAGAGAAAGCCACCTCCAGGGCTGGGGGCGGGGGGGGGGGGGGGGGGGGGAGGCAGGGAGAGGAGACAGGTTCCCACAGGCAATCAAAGCCCAGGTCTCCACAGTGTCAGTCCCGGGAGTCACAGGTGCGCTCATCCCAGGGCATCCATAGGAGCTGGTGCCAGTCACATGCCCGGGGAGCCGTTTTAAAGGCAAGAGAGTGTCATCTGTGTTAGAAACGGCCGGGGAGGCCATTTAATCTCTTGAGTCTTGGATTTGTTTTAATCTGCGAAGCCAGGATGACTCAGTCTCACAGCTGCAGAGAAAACGGGAAGAAGCTAAAACATGTGCTAAACATTACTATCCTCTGGGGAAGTGTTTATTCACTGAGCACCAGCCTCCTGTTATGGGCCGGACACGTGCTGGAGAGACAGAAGAAATGCTAGCGATGGGGACCAGGGGAGGAAGGGGATGCATGTTATAAAGCCAGGTGTGCACCGAGGCCGCCTCTGCCCAGGTGCCTGGGTCCCAGGGTCAGGGCTCTCTGGGAGGGAGGGAGGGACATGCAAGAGACGATGCTCCGAGCAGGGATGGGGGTGGGAGACCCTGACCCGCAGCAGAGCTTGCTGCCACGGGATGTAATTCTGCAAAGGACACAGCAATTCACCTGCCGCCACTACATCCATTCCTGGGAGCCCCACATGCCTGCATGTGGGGAGGGGCGGGACTAGAGTGAACCCAGTCATAGTTGATTGGACAGTGAGTGGATACCGGAGCCCAGCTGGGCCAATGAGATTCTTCCCCTTAAGGCACACCAGACCTGATTGGTTCTGGGTTCAAAGACCGAAGGGCCTCTAGTCCTGGGATTAGGCCCTCCACTTGATGCTTGAGATGCAGACCAGTCTGGTGTTAGAAAGAAGGAGGCTGATCTGCTGGGAGGACCCCTCCCTAACCCACCTGCAGCCCATCCGGTCAGGCTTCCCCTCTGCCCTGGTGTCCACGTGGGACACAGGTGAAGGCCCCCGCAGCCTGGGAGCCCAAGGCGAACAGACGGATTGGGGCTGCATCTGGAACCAGCAGAAGGAATGCCTGGCACTGCCAGGCTGCGTCTGAGACAGGCCAGGCTGCGTCTGAGACAGGCAGATGGGGACCTCGCAGTCCACACACGCCCTGCAGGTGGCTGATCTGGGGGCACGCCTGGTCTCCAGCTGCTGCGGAGACCCACGGATCAGGGCACAAAACCAAAACCAGCAGCCAGGAGAACAAAGGTAGATCCAGCTGACAAAACAGCCTCAGGCAGTGTCTCCAAACAGCAAACACCTGCACACACCCCCACTCCCACGCTCGCTCCCTCCCTCCTCTCTCCCTCCATGGAGGCCTGAGCCCAGGGAGCTGGTGGGGTAGGCCCAGGGTGTCTGTGCTGGCCCCGCCCAAAGCTGGTGTGTGTCCCACTGCCTGGCCCAGCACCCGCTCGGTCACCTGCCTTTCCTTTGCTCCGACTCAGGGGGGCCCAGGAGCGGAGGCACGTACTGTGAAAGCGGAATCGGAGGGGCCTGCACGCTGCCCACCTGGGCCTGGAGTGGGCTTCCTCACCTGGGGCCTCCGACCAGGAGTCCACGGAGAGACCTCAGGGGCCACAGGCTGGACGGGAGAGCATGCACCTTGGTTCTCACTGGCCTCCAATTGCCACGTAGCATTTGCTCTGTGTCAACACAGATGCGAACCCCGATCCCCCTAGCGGAGTCACATCCGGTTTCCTTAGCGCAGCTGGTGGGACTCCAAGACGTTGTGCTCATCACCGCTTGGCAGCTCCGCAGAGCCCGGCCCCTCGTCACTAATTTGTTCTAAAAGAAATACGCTCTGTGCCTGGCCGGCGTGGCTCCATGGTGGATCTTTGACCTACGAACCAGGACATCAAGGTTCCATTTCCCTTTAGGGCACAGGCCCGGGTTGTGGGCTCCATCCCCAGTAGGGGGCGTGCAGGAGGCAGCCCATCCGTGATGCTCTCTCATCACTGACGATTCTCTCTCTCTCCCTCTCCCTTCCTCTCTGAAATAAAAATATTTGAAAGAAAAATAAAAAGAAGCACGTGTTGCTATGTCCCCGATTGCCACATCCTTCACTGTAAGCGGTTGCTTTTGTAATCCCAGGGATTTTATTTTAGGCGTCTAACCCTCTCCTTGCCTGGCTTCCGGCCACATACAACATGCACAGTCCCCTGCCCGGGTCTGGACCACGGGTTTCTCATGCATGCACACGCCTCCACCCACGCTGGCCTGCCCGAGGGCCCCTCGGCTGGGATGCTGTCTCCCCCTCTGCGCTGAGTCAGCAGCTTCCAAACCCACTTCCTGAGCCCCGGGCCGAACAGCAGCCCGTCCACTCCGCTGCCGGCTTCGTGTTTCCCACCGATGGCCCATGCAGACACTCCTCGGGGTGCGCGGAGAAAAACAGATTAACAGCATGATGCTGGGGGGAGGGGGGTTCTTTTTGTTTTTGGTGTGTGGGGGGGTGACTTGCCAGGTGGGTGTGGCTCAGTGGTTGAGCATCAACCTATACACCAGGAAGTTGCCAGTTCGATTCCCCGTCAGGGCACATGCCTGGATTGTGGGCTCGACCCACTACCCCCTCCCTCCAGGCTGGGGCGTGTAGGAGGCAGCTGATCAATGATGTTTGTTTCTCATCGATGTTTCTAGCTCTCTATCCTCCGCCTTTCCTCTCTTTCTAAAAATCAATACAAACATATTTAACAGATGCGGTAAAAGGGAGGGTGTCTTCAGTGTGGGCTGAGCTTGGTGCCTCGCTGGGAAAGGGGAGGGGGGAAGGCAGGGACAGTGGGAACACCTGGCAAGGCTGCCTGTGCGGGGCGGTCCGGTCAGCTCATCAGCGATGAACGATGCTGAATCAGCATGAGAAGGGCCCTCGGGTCTTCAATGCAAAGACTCAGACCCTGACGGACCCGAGGGGAGCACCATGCACACCTCCCAGAGGGAGTGCCACCTGCACAAAGGCTGGCCGGGCTTCTCACTCCCCGGTCACCACGGCCAGGGAGAAAGGGTGCCAGGCCAGGCGCTACGGAGGCGTGACTGGGTGTCCTGGGCAGGTCCCGGGGCAGGAAGGGACAGTGAGGCGAAGTTTGTGCACTCCCAATGAAGCGTGGGCCTCAGTGAATAATCATGTGTCCGTGTCGCTTTCTTAGTCGTGACCGCTGTGTCAGGATAACCTAACCCAGTGGTCGGCAAACTCATTAGTCAACAGAACCCAGTACCAACAGCACAACGATTGAAATTTCTTTGGAGAGCCACATTTTTTAAACTTAAACTTCCTCTAACGCCACTTCTTCAACATAGACTCACCCAGGCCATGGTATTTTGTGGGAGAGCCACACTCAAGGGGCCAAAGAGCAGCATGTGGCTCAAGAGCCAAGGTTTGCCGACCACGCACCTACGACATTAATAAGAACAAGGGGACTCTGACGGGGCAGCTCCGTTGTTTAGGGCATCAGCCCGATACACCAGGGTTGTGGGTTCCACCCAGTCAGGACCCAGACAAGCAGCAACCAAGGAGTGCCTAAGTCAGCAGAACAACAAAGCCATGTCTCTCTCTCTCTCTCTCTCTTTATCCCCACTAATTTTGTTTTTACAAAATTAGTGGGGATAAAAGTAGGGTGACCAGACGTCCTGTTTTTGGCGAGACAGTCCTGATTTTTAGCAATTTGTCCCGCATCCCGCGGTGTTTTAAATAAGTCTCAATTTTGGGACTGTCCCACCAAAAGCGGGACGTCAGGTCACCTTAATAAAAGGGAGAGATCAACCAAAGGACTTGTGTGCATACATATGATCCTAACCAGTGGTCAAGGACAACAGAGGGGTGGGGGCATGAGTGGGGAGGGGTGGGGGATTGGAATAGGGGGTTGAATACAAATATGTGATACCTTAATCAATAAAGAAATTAAAAAATAAAAATAATAAAAAAAAGAAAACCAATAAAACCCCACAAAAGGACAATATATAAAACCTTTTTTAGGGGGAAAAAATACTAGTAAGAGAAACTGAGGGAGTGGTGTGGATGAAAAGGGCCACATGCGATCCTGACTGCCTCCGGGAGGGCCTGGGTGGCGGCCTGGCGAACTCGGAGACCTCAGGGTGGTCTGCCCATAGACCTTTGGCAACTAGAAAGCAGCTACAGCGGGTAGTCAGGTCCCAGGCCAGGGTCTCCCCTGAGAAAGAGCAGCTCTGAGTCTAGGGTCTTTTTGCCTCTAATGTGACACCTACCTGTGGGATGTCCGGTAACTTGTAACTTCCCTTTTCCCGGACCCCTCAGGGCACACCCCATGCACCAGGGCGGAGACCACCAGCTTCCTCATAGGGATCCCGTTCATGGTTCACTGCTGACCCTTAGCTTCCTGCAACCCCCTGAGTGAAAGCAGCACGTGCCCAGCATTTTCCTTTTACCCAATCCCACAGGTTTCCTGCTTTGCTTTCTCCCGCCTCCCTCTTTGAGCCCCAATGGAGTTCCTCTAACCCTTTACGCCCCCTCCTTTGATGGCAATGGGTAAAACATGGGCAAACGGCCCTTCTCCAGAATGTTCTCCCCGTACAGGGAGACCCCGCTTCCCAGCCATGGTCCCTGCAGTTTGGCTCTAATAGACTCACAAGCGTTTTTAATGTTTTAACAGTTTTGATGTTTCTCAGGTGAGCAGGGCCCACGGGGGCTCAAGGTGCTTCCTCTGTAACCGTTTTTGCACATTTTAAACTGGTCTTCAATCCATATAATAATGAGAGGCTATACCAAAACCCACTGTATTTCTTTCTCAGTAGGAGCATGCATGCAGGGGTTGTGACTGGATGTGAGGAAGGGAGTGGTCTTCCCACAGACGTTTCTAGAAGGAACAGGAGCTGTAAAAGGCCGTTTCCCTGGGAGTGCAGGGGGAGGCGTGCACCACCGCCCTGTGCAGTCCAGGCCGCCGAGCACAGGCTCGGGGCAGGGCTGGAGGCTGCTGTGGTGTGGATGCCACGCTGGTGTTGCAGCATCAAGAAAAGAAAGAGAAGGACCTGAGTAGCGGTTACACCGAGTCTATGCTGAAACGGGGTACTCTGAATGCACCGGGGGACATGCATTGCTGACATTAAGTTCACCTGTTCCTTTCTTTCTCAAAGTGGCCACCAGAAAACGGGGCGCTGCCCGGCCAGCGTAGACAGTGGCTGGGGGTCAGCCTAGGAACCGGGAGGTCACAGTTCGATTCCCCGTCAGGGGCACATGTGGGTGGCAGGCTCGATCCCCAGTGGGGATTGTGCAGGAGGCAGCCGATCCATGATTCTCTCTCATCATGGATGTTTCTCTTTCTCTCTGAAATTAAAATATATATATGTATATATTTTTTTAATAGAAAAAAGAACATGGGAAGCTCACGTTGCGTTTTTATTGGGCAGCGATGCTCTATGGAGCCAAAGGCGAGGGAGCTGTGGCCGGGGCTCCAGCACACACACACACACACACACACACACACACACACGCTCTCCGGCAGAGAAAAAGGACACCGTACTGCAAAGTTACAAATTTATTGGTCTGGAAATAAATACAAATATCTCGTTAAGAAACTCCTCTGGAGAGACGTGTACACAGCAGTCTTCCGTCTGGATCCAGCCACTCCTGTCCTGACCTCTGACCCCTGACCCTCTGCTCGAGGTCAGGGGGAGCCTCCCATAGAAGGCGGCAGGTGGATGGAGTCGTTCGTGACCCCTCACGCTGCCTGCAAGGCCGGATGACTCCCTCCCACCAACTCCGGGGGCCCGGAGACCACGGGGTCCCAGCAGCCGGTTCACCACGTCCCCTTCCCTCTGATCACGCTCCCTAGCGGAGGCAGGGTTAGCCGGGATGAGAATCAAAAGGCAGTGGGACGGGAACTCGACCCAGACAGGTCAGTGGTCCGCCCCATTCAGGGAGAGGAGGTTAGGGGGGCAGGGAGGAGCGGGAGGCAGGAGCGGGAGGGAGATCTCAGGAGACACACATTCCAGAACCCTTACACCTGCTCCTCTTCTCCCCCCACCCCCACCCGAGTCCCCACCCCATACAAAAGCCAACAGGAATGGAACCGGGAAAGATCCAGGAATGGAACCGGGTCAGAACGGTTAGGCCGTCAACTCGGACTCAACCAGGATGGAACTTGATCCCAGAAAGGTCTCTGGAAACCAGGACGCGATCCACAGAAATCACCAGCTCCCTGGATCCCACCCTAACCACAAGGAGTCTGTTATTTACAGCTGGTCCCCAAACCCCACCCCCACCCCTGCCCCTGCCCCGGGGCAAAGAGACTCCTGGCAGCCAGGAACACCTGTTGGGAATGTCCCCTCCATCTCCAGGAAAGCACCCCCATAGTTAAGAGGCTCTACCCCATGAAGGAAATAACCATTCGCTCACGTCTTGGGGGTGGGAAGCAGGGGCGGAGGAGGAAGAGGAAGAGGAAGAGGAGGAGGAGGAGGAGGAGAAGGAGAAGGAGGAGGAGGAGGAGGAGGGAGCAGAGCCAAAGCCTTAAATCCGTGATGCTAAGCACTTGTCGGCGGGTTTTTGTTGTTGTTGCAGCAAAGCCAGGAGGATCTGTCCCCACTTTGTGTTCATAAAAAACAAAACAAAAGAAAGCCAGGAGAGCACGCCTGTGTGTGCGCGCTGGCATGGCAGAGGGTATGCGTGCATGAACTTCAGACATCGATTTCCAGCGAGCTACAGAGATTTGCTTTTCCAAACTCTCTGAGCCTCCCCGTAAGCTCCGCCTCCGTTCCAGCTGCCTGTTCGGCCTACACCAGCCTCCCCGGGCTCGCTGCTCCCTCCCCCCACACCAGGGCAGGGTTTGTTTCCGGAATCTGGGTGGGTTTGCCTTTAGCGGGAGAGGAAACAGGAGCAGCTGGGCTGGGCCTGGATTAGGACCTGTTTCCTGCTGTGTTTCTCGCTCGGGGCCATGTGGCATCTCGGAGGCAGGGGGGAAGCCAGTGGCCACCAGGCCACTGGTCAATGCACAGGGGACTCTGAGATGCTCACTTTCCTTTGGTCCTCCCCGCCCGGCCTGGAGGGGGCGCCCTGGACAAATCCCATCTGAAGCCCTGGCCGGAGCTCCCTTGTACAGAACAAGCTGGGGGTTAATGTCGAGTTGCGTGCGGCGTGGCAGGTGGGGGGTGGGGAGGGGCGGAGGAGGGGGCAGCTACAGTCCGGGGGGGCGGCGGGCGCGGGCCGCCTAGCAGGACACCTCCATGGACTTGGGCCCCGCGCTGTTCCCGGTGGCCCCGGAGCTGGGGGTGATGTCCAGGCGGGCGCCCTCGCTGGTATGGGAGCGGCTGCGGGTGCCCTCGCTGGTGTGGGAGCGGCTGCGGGTGCCCTCGCTGGTGTGCGAGCGGCTGCGGGACCCCTCCAGCGACGTGACACTGGAGCCCGAGGCCGTGCGGGACCGCATCAGGCGGGTCATGCTGGCGGAGGGCACTGGGGAGAGAGACAGCCGTGAGGGGGCAGGACGCTGGGAGCACCCCACGCCGGCCTCGGGGTCTCCTCTGTGCCCACCTGGCAGAGCATCTTTTTTTTTTTGTTTTTTTTCTATTATTTTCAGAGAGGAAAGGAGAGAGAAACATCCTTTGAGGGCCAACATTCCATCCACTGAGCCAAACCAGCCAGGGCCCAAATCTGACGTTTTAGCTCCGTCCTAATTAGCAGCGACTTGACCACCCAGGACTCAGCGCTTGATAGTTGTTTGTTTGTGTTTGGTTTGGTTTCTTGGAGTTTTGTATTTTTTAAACCCAATGATGAGAGTGAATCGCTGACTGGCTGCCTCCTGCACGCCCCCTGCTGGGGATCGAGCCCACAGCCTGGGCATGTGCCCCTGACTGGAACCGAACCTGGGACCCTTCGGTCCACAGGCCGACGCTCCATCCACGGAGCCAAAATGGCGAGGGCCAGAATACACTTTCAGAGCAGAACTCCGAGCCCAACAGAGGCCCAGACAAAGGCGTCGCGGCTCGAACCCTGCGAGGTAGGCAGGGGCGGCTTGCTCTCCCCATGCCCTCCCTGCGCTTCCCGGCGGGGAGAGCGCTCAGGCCCGCGGGCGGCCGGTCTCTGTTGGCAGAGGGCACCTGGGGACACGGACCCCGCCCACAGCCTGGAAGTCAGCTGGCATCTGCTCTCGGCCTCACAGACACCAAACGTGGCTGAGGCCGCCTCGGGCCTGTGGTCAGACGCACCGGGACTATTTTAACCGAGCAAACAGCTCAAGTCTCAGAGGAAAAGTGAAGGACATCAGGCGTACAAAGACGTCCCTGTTCAGGAGGGCAGGAGCGACGGCCCAGCTCTCCCTCCCTGCACCTCTGTCATCCCCCCTCTCCCTCCCGCCCGGCCGTGTGCAGAGCCGCCGCTGGCCAGGACGGCCCAGAATTCCCATCCGAACCCGGGCCGGGCATCGCCCTCCCAGCTCCCCCGGCCCCGGCCCCACGCCCGCGGGCAGTGCCACACTTACTGTAGCCCATGCCCTGCACGAAGTACTTGAACGCCTCCGCGAGCTTGGCTGGCTGAGAGAGAAAGACGGGCGGCGGGTCAGTGCCGGGGTCCGGGTCAGCACTGGCCACGTGAGCTGTGGCCTGGTCACCTTCACGAGAGACCTGGGCCCTAATTCCGGTGCCTGCAATGGCCCCACTCAGGAAAGGAAGGCGTCGGGAGTCTTGGAGGGACCGATCTCAGCTCTGACGAGGGAGGGAAAGTCCGATCCGCTGGGTGGCGGGGGGGCCAGGGAGGTCTCCGCGGAGGCCCGGGGGAGCAGGAGTGCGGGCTTGGAAATGGGGGTGCCTGGGCCTCGATGGACCCCCCTGGGAGACCGCGGGCAATCTCTCCCCTCTGCTGGTCTCACTTTCCTAGTCTACCCGGGACAGCAACTCAACGCCAGGAGCCAGGATCACGGAGGAGGAAGATGGAAACACTCTGTGTAAACGCCACCCAACACCCAACGTGTCTGGGTGGGGGAAGGGGGCAGCTGCGTGGTGCTGGCCTCCCGGGCTCATGGCCTGGAACCCCGGGCCGGGCCGGCTCCCGCTGGGCGGGGCGTGTAAGCCATGTTATCACTATGGCCGGGCAGCTCTGTTCTCATTTCCAGCAGAGAAAGGAAGAGGAGAAGGCAGGCAGGGGAGGCGGAAGGGAAGACGGCACCCTGTTTCCCCATCCGCCTCAGGGGCCCTGGTGGCGGCCATCTCAGCAGCGGCTCCGGGTTGGGCTGGGAGGGCAGCAGGTGCCATCGCCAAAGGCGGGCGTTAACTGCTGATCACAGCTACAGGGTGGCCAGCTGCTCCCCATCACGTGAGCAAATCAGCCACAGCTGAGACATTGGAAACATCTGTGTCCTGTTCTGGGGGGGCAGGGGCACACAGACACGGGTGCAGGGAAGCTAAGAGCCGGCAAAGCCCCAAGCCCACGCCCTGGAAGTGCTGGGTACGAGGCGGGCCCGAGGCGGCCCAGAGCGGCGGGCCGGGCCGGTGTCTGCCTGATGTGGGTCTGCCAGGACCCCGAGGCCAGCGGCCTCTTCGCCAGGCGCCCAGCAAGACACCCCGTACCCCAATGAGGCCTGTCCTGTCGGGACTGCAGCTGCTGAGATTTACGCTGCACCCCGTGGACCTCAGAGCATCGTCCGCTCACTGGGGCTCAGAGCCCAGACTCGCCCTTTTCGTTTTTTTCTTTTCTTTTTTTCTTTAATATGACTTCATTGATGTCAGAGAGGAAGGGAGAGGGGGAGAGAGAAACATCAGGAATGAGAGAGAATCAGCGATCGGCTGCCTCCTGCAGGCCCCACACTGGGGGGGATCAAGCCCGCACCCCGGGCCTGTGCCCTGACCTGGAATGGATCTATGACGTCGTGGTTCATAGGTCGATGCTGAGCCACGGAGCCACGCCGGCCGGCATGACTCTCCCTTTCCCATCAGACACCCGTGAGGTTAGCGGGGCCCTGGGAGTCGGAGAGCTGGTCCCTTCCTCACAGGGATGCTCCCAGCAGCACGTGGACGCCTGTGGCTGCCGGGAGGGGCAGACCTCGACCCCAGCCCGGGATTGCCCAGCCGTGTCCGCTGGACGAATGCCTCCTCCAGGGCCCCCCAACACCTCCTCCACAGGAGTTTCTAGGAGTCAGTGAGTCCCATGTTCAAGCACTGTATAAGCACGGTGTATACAAGGTAAACGTGCGTCACCAGAGGTCATGGGCGGGGAGGGGGGAGGGCAGGAGCAGGCAGGGAGGGGGAAGCAGTGACAGGTGTCAGAGGCTCAGCATCCCCCTGGACTCACCTGGGAGATCTGCGGGAGGCCGCCGCAGTCCGCCATCTGGGGGAGAGGAGTGGTTAGTGCCGTCACCCAGCCGAGCCCACCCTCCCTCTGCAAGCCGGCTCCAAGTGGCACCGCCCTGCCCGCCGCCTGCCTGCTGAGGGGCTGGCACGTTACAGGTGGCAAACGCCCAGCCCCACCAGCAAGGCTGCTTTACTTCCATGGGCCCCGGCATGGTTTCTCTCAGCCCATGACGTGTACCTTCTGATACGCCTATCGATCATTTCACTCTGTCCCCCGGGAACCCGGGTGGCCCTGTCCCACCCGAGAGGCAGAGCTAGTGGAGCTGGCAGAAGCCCTGGCACCCATGCCCTGCACAGACCCCGCAGGAGGAGACTGCCAGGCTCAAGACCTCGGCTCACGGGACTCCCGATGGGCCGCCCTGGGGAAAGGTGCCCACCCCCCACATGACTACCAAATCACCAAACCCAAAGCCCTCAGCACTTATCAAAGCCACTCCTGCCACATGTGGCATTCCCCCAGGAGGGGCGATGATCGGGCCTGGCCCAGAGCCCTCAGCAGCAGCACAAGGACGGCTTTGAGGGAGACGGGCCGGAAGGGGTCAGTGAGAGCGGGTGACACCGGGCCACCCTACAGGCCAGGGTCAAGGTCAGATCCCAAGGGCGACAGGCTGCAGCCCACACACCCTGGGGTCCCCCGGAGGGATCCTCTCCTCTGACCGCTCACCGTACCAGCCAGCACCAGGACAAGTGTGTGAACAGAGAGTAAGTCATCATTTCTATCATGTCTGGCCACCAGCTCTGCCTACGCCGGCACAACTCAGTGTTTGCAGAGAACCCAGGAGTTTTGAAGGGCGAGTGCCAATCCCCCTCACAGCCCCTGTACCTTGAGGAGGGTGGTCTTGGTTGGGTCCAGCTTTGAGTTGCACTCCACCTGGATGAGGAGAGGGGGGAGAAGTCTGTTAATTTTCAACCAGAGCCCAAGTGACCACCTTTTCCCCCCCTCCCCCCCCCACCATCCTCAGACTCCATGTTCCCAGAGCATAAAAGAAAGAAACATGGGCTTAAACAGCTGTGCCTTTTGCCCGGCTGGCGTGGCTCAGAGTTTGAGCGTGGACCTATGAACCAGGAGGACACAGCTCGATTCCTAGTCGGGGCACATGCCTGGGTTGTGGGCTCAATCCTCAGGGTGGGACATGCAAGAGGCAGGCAGCCATCAATGATTCTCTCTCATCGTTAATATTTCCATCTCTGTCCTTCTCCCTTCCTCTCTGAAAGCAATATATATATATATAATTTCATATATATATACTCATATATATATGAAATTATTAATAAGTAGATATATATACATACTTATTAATAATTATGTGTACATAATTATTAATAAATAAAATAAGCAGATGTGGCTTTTAAGTCCAGCCCTGCCATCACTGCCTGTGTGACCTTAGACAAGTTACTTCTTTGAGCCTCAGTCTCTGCATTCATAAAAGGAGTTTGGCCGAAACCGGTGTGGCTCAGTGGATAGAGCGTCGGCCTGCGGACTGAAGGGTCCCAGGTTCGATTCTGGTCAAGGGCATGTACCTTGGTTTGGGGCACATCCCCAGTGGGGGGTGTGGTGGAGGCAGCTGGTCGATGTTTCTCTCTCATCAATGTTTCTAGCTCTCTATCCCTCTCCCTTCCTCTCCGTAAAAAGACAATAAAACGTATGTTTAAAAAATATAAAATAAAAATAAAAAGCGGTTGCTGTAGTTGTGGGCGGTTAGGAAGATTCCCTGGAATGTCGGAAGTGCTCTAGAAACATTCAGTGAGTGAGTGGCCTTCCTCCGCCCGAGGCCGGTGAGCCCCGAGGTCGCACACCCCAGTCCTAACACCACTCTTCACACCCGCCGCCCTGCCCCCAGCTGCCTCTCTCCTCCGTGCCCGGACCCTCCTGGCAGTGCCTCCAGCGCGGGGCAGCGGCCAGCTGTGGCCTGTGCTGCTCCAGCGCCTGGTGAACCTCCTCCCGATGTGAACAGCGTGTCCCTGTGGAGGCACTAACTGAGAGGCAGGACAGCAGTCACGGTCTCCATGACACGACCCGGGGCGGGCCTGTGCCTCGGCCCCCGGGGGGGAAGGAAAGGGTGAAATAAGCCGGAAAGCGTGCTCAAGCCCAGCTCCCAGGTGCCCCTTGTGCTGCCAGACAGCCAGGCACCGGCCAGGCCCCCCGAACGGGAGGAAGGCGTCTTGGCCAGGAAGCCAAGTGGAAAACGAGCCGGGGGGAGGCAGATGGGCAGGGGAGGAGTGGCGGGAGGGGGCACAGAGGGCCCACTGCCCGGCACCAGGCTGACGGTCACCACGGGGACAGGCGGGTGGCTGGGCCTCTGCCCAAGACCAGCGTGGCAATGAGGAAGTGCCGCCTGCCTGGGTGGGCGGAGGAAAGGAAAGAGATGGGGAGGATGTGGATGCTGAATTATGCACAAACACCCACGGGTGGTGTCTACGTACCACAGCGTCCACGGCGGGCGAGCTGTCCCCGACCACCAGCAGCACCGGACACCTGGGGGCAGGGAGGCGAGGGGGCGTTAACACGCGGTTCCTTCGAAGACCCGTACCCTCCCAGGCCTGCCAGGGTCCGAACAACAGGACTCTGCTTCCTCCCATGCCCTTTGCCCGTTTTCCTCCCGCCTCCCTCCATCCCCTGCTTTGTTCTTAGAATAACATCGACCGGTAAGTCATTTACACTTCAGCGTGAATTTCGCCAGAGACTCTCTATGCCCTGATGCTCTTATATTTTGAACACCCTCTCCTCCAGGAAGGCTGAGAGGAACGTGGTCAGCAATTGAGCTCATAGAGACACCATGGACCAAGCTGGGGAGGAAATGGCATGTGCCGAGTCCAGAGATGGGGGAGAGAGCAACTCACTGCAGGGTGACTGTGGACACGCCCGGCACCGGCCGCTCAATCTCCAGGTCCCGCCGGCTGCAGAGGACGGACGGAAGCACCGTTAATTAATTACATCAGAGGACGGACGGAAGCACCGTTAATTAATTACATCGGAGGACGGACGGAAGCACCGTTAATTAATTACATCGGAGGACGGACGGAAGCACTGTTAATTACATCTGCAGACCGCCCTCACCCATCGGGAAGACGCTCCCACTGAGCAAAGCCATTCTGCTCTGCCCCGGACGCTGGGCGGCCCCAGAGGCACCGTGCATGCCACAAAGTCACGGCAGTAAAGGGAGATGGAGACAGAACGACTCAGACACTGAGCGACTCCCTGAGATTCCAGAACTTCGGGTGCGCCCCCGTGGCCCCAGGCCGCCCATCCTCCAGTGGAGCTCCCGACAGGCACCCAGTTACGGAGGAGAGGCCTGGTCCTTGCCAGAGGCCGTGTGCAGGCATTTACTCATCCTGGGAACAACTCTCCGCCTCCCAGCAGCCTCCTGGGCTTCCTCCCGTCCCCGGTGCACTGATTGTCTCTCAGCTCTCCTCCTCACAGCTGTCCCCGCACCTGTCCGCGCACCTGACCCCGCACCTGACCCCGCACCTGTCCCCACACCTGTCCCCGCACCTGTCCACGCACCTGACCCCGCACCTGTCCCCGCACCTGACCCCGCACCTGTCCCTACACCTTCCTCACACCTGACCCCGCACCTGTCCCTACACTGTCCCCACACCTGACCCCGCACCTGTCCCCACACCTTCCTCACACCTGTCCCCACACCTGTCCCCACACCTGTCCCCGCACCTGTCCCCGCACCTGTCCTTTTCTAGGGTCACCAAAAGCGCAGACACGTACTCCCCACCCTGAGGGCATGACTGGCCCTCCTCTTCTTGGCACTCCCGGTCTGGAGTGGCAGCCCAGCTCCTGGACACGCGCTCAGCACCCCAGGAGAGCCTGGCTGAGGGCGCCCCGTCCTGCTGACGTGTTTGCTCAAGTCCAGGGGCTGCCTCTCCTGCGGCTACCCCCCCCCCCCCCGGCTGCACCTTCCCCCCCAGCCCTGCGAGGGGCCGCACCTGTTGTAGGCGTTGATGAACAGGTGCAGGTTGCCGGGGTTCATGTCGTTGATGATGTGCTGGCGGTAGGTGTGCACCACCTCCACGTTGTTCTGCATCTCCTCCTGCAACGAGAGAGGAAAGGTCCTCACAGGCCCGGGCAGGGACAGGGACAGGGGCAGGGGCAGGGGCAGGGGAGGGGCTGGCACCAGGGGAAGGCAATGGGCCCCGGAACATCAGGGCGATGGCCCCACAACCACACGCAAGCTGTGGTCCGACGGGCAAAGCGCACCCTCCACTCCGGGCTCAGCGTTTGGAGTTCGGACTTGAAGTCAGTCCTCCTGGGCTTGGAGCTGGACTCCAAAGGGGTTCAGAACAAGCACCCCAAGATATGCCTCGGTGGGGTGCAAGTTATGTTGAGTGAATGCCAACCGAGACCCTGGGGACTCGAAAGAAGTGCCTGCTCCCCCTGCCTAGCTGTCCATAGGAGTTCACACCCCTGCCTAGCTGTCCGTGGGAGTTCACACCCTGCCCAGCTGTCCGTGGGAGTTCACACCCCTCACCTAGCCCACGGCCAGAGTCGCCACCAGAAATGGCCTCTCCGACGGTGTGGCAGGTTCCATGACTAACAACCGAACCCATGCTCTCCCTCCGGAGCCCGAAGTGCATGCTTCATCCAGAGCTCAGAGTGCCAATGCACCTCTTTTCCCCTTCCGTCTCTGACTCTCTCGTCCTGCGGGCTCTGGTACCGAGGTCTGTAGTTAAACCCGGCCATTTTATCGTGTCTGCCTGGTGAGTAGTGAGTCCAGAGAAGCTTAAATGGAGAAGAAAACTGCCTCCTTCCTCTCACCGCATTGCTGCCCTTAGCTTGGGGAAAGTGCCTTAACCTCCGAGCCGCGGTGCTCTTGGAAAAAAGGGGTAACCGAGTCCAGGTCCCCAACTCACCTTCCCGAAGAGGTGGGACACCACCATGTCCGGCAGGGCCTGGGTCCATCCGGAGATCTGGGGGGACACAGGGGAGGACACGGGGGTCAGGAAAAAGGCATTCGCAGGGGCATGAGGTCAGCCCAACTCGTGCCCTCGGGGCTCCCAGCACTCGGTCTGAGGATGCCCCAGGGATGGGAACGCGGTCCCAGCCTCTGGTGACCTTCCAGCCCTGTGGCCCCCAGGAGGCAGAGCCTGGCTCTGCACCCATCGCCATTCTGGGAGCCGGGGCATGCACAGCTGTGCAGGACGGGCCTGGGCTCCTGCTGGTGTGCTTCCCCCAGCAGGAAGGACCCCATGAGTTTGTTCTGAGCACAGGCTCCCTGCGTCCACACCTCCGATCTGCTGGGCTCACCCTCTACCTTGTCGCTGAGCCACTTTCCTCTCTCCGAATGCACTGCAGTTTCCAGAGAAATGAATGACCTCCTTTCCCTCTCTAACAACAGCACTAGGCTCGATGCGCAGGAGGAGCTCCATAAATACTAGGTATACAGTGGGAGCCCCATAAATGCCATGCATACAGCAGGAGATCCATAAATGCTGGACATGCATACAGCAGAAGATCCATAAATGCTGGATATACAGCGGGAGCTCTGTAAATGCTAGATATACAGCAGGAGCTCCGTAAATGCTAGGCACACAGCAGGTGATCCAAAAATGCTAAATATACAGGGGGAGCTCCATAAATGCTAGGCAAACAGGAGGAGATCCATAAATGCTAAATATACAGTGGGAGCTCCATAAATGCCATGCATACAGCAGGAGATCCATAAATGCTAGGTAAACAGGAGTTCCATAAATGCTAGATATTCTGCGTGAGCTCTGTAAATGCCATGCACACAGCAGGCCGTCCATATATGTTGGGCCCACCGCAGGGGCTCCCTCAGTGCTAGCCAGACAGCAGCCCCGTACTGTGTGCTGACTACCAGGGTCCCACCGTGTGGCCCGGGCAGCTGCAGAGCCCCCGGACCCCGGGCTGCCCCTCGGTAGCTGGGGCTGCTGGGAACTTCACATTGCCACTCACGCTGAGGATTGTGGGAGCGGCCACACGCCACAGGATCTGACCCCGGGACCTGACATACAGCAGACCTCTGAGGCGGGTATTTTTTCTCCGGGGCCGGGGTCGAAAAGGAAGGATACGGTGCAGATAGTAAAACCCCACAGACATTCCTCAGGCCGCACGCCGCCAACAGCCAGCGTCCCCCGCCCTCCACGCCTGGCGCAGGGCGGCTGCCCAGGAGCCAAACTGGCTGAGCGAATGCCACTTCCTCTGCTGGAAAATAAAATAAAAAACAGGGAGTGTGTTCCGCTCCCGAATGTCACGCAGGCCGGAGGGAAGGGCTCCGGGGAGAGACGCGGTACCGGGCTGGCCGGCCAGGATGTGGTGGGAGGCGGGGGAGGCACACGCCCCGTTAATCTCCCTGTCCCCCATGGCCACCCCAACCCTGGCAGAAAGACTTCCAAAATGAGAGGCCAGGTTCACCCCTGCTTACAAGGCTCTGTCCTGTTTCAATCAGGACGGTTTCCCCATCTCCTTGGCAAATGCAGGGGCTTTTATAAAAACGACAATCATCGTTTTTAAATAAACAGGGAGCCCCGGGCCCCCAGCCAGAGCAGAGCGTCCTGAGACAAGGAGGGCCTCGCGCGTCCAGGAAGGGACGTGCCAGCCCCGTGTGTGCCCAGCTGGGCGGCTCTGGGGTGGCGGTGGGCCTCGGACACCTGCTGCCTGGGAGCCGTGAGCACAGCCCTGGGGGGGGGGGGGGGCTGGCCGGGGCGGGGGAGGCCCGAGGCTCTCCAGTCAGCCAGCTCTCCTTCTGCACAGTCTCCTTACCCAGCGGGAGCCTCAGTTTCCCCCTCTGCGAATGGCATGACCATCCCGGGAGGATTCCACAGGCCACACACCCATAGCAACTAGGAGCAGAGCCAGCACCTGGTAACCATCCAGGGGTGGGGCCCCTCTCCTGCCAGGGCCATCTGGATACGCACAGCGTCCTTCACAGGCCACACAGCATCATTAACTTAAAAACCAGCCTGCTATGCCAAAACCGGTTTGGCACAGTGGATAGAGCATCAGCCTGCAGACTGAAGGGTCCCGGGTTCAATTCCGGTCAAGGGCATGTACCTTGGTTGCAGGCACATCCCCAGTAGGGGGCGTGCAAGAGGCAGCTGATCGATGACTCTCTCTCATCGATGTTTCTAGCTCTCTATCCCTCTCCCTTCCTCTCTGTAAAAAATCAATAAAATATATATTTTTTTTAAAAAAACAAAAACTAGCCTGCTATTCAGGGTCCAACATTGAATTCACTCACCGCTGAGGCCTGGGCAGGGCCCGACTGAGGAGTGATTTCAGGGGCCTTATGGGGCGGATGGGCCGGACATTCCCCGCCCCCGCTACATGTTGGCTAATTATTACTGTCATCAAACTGAGCGGCATAGGGTCAGTACCAAATGCCTATTTCTTTCTCATGGGTAATGGATGGGCTGAGAGGCACTGGTCTTGTTCATCTTTCTATTCTCAGCATCTCGGAAAAGCCCAGACGATGCCCGGTCCCCGGCAAAGACTCCTCCCCAGACGATGCTGGTCCACGCCAGCTCGGGGGCCCTAACCCTGGCGGCCCTGACCCAGCTGGCTGAGCCCGCACTGTCCCATGGGTGCCCGAGGGCCAAGGTATGGGTCACGCACCGTTCTGAGCACAGCAGAGGAAACTGCTCTCCTGCTGGGGTGGGGAGCAGCAGGAAAGGGTGCCACTAGGAGGGTTCTCAGGGCCGGGGTGAGGGCAGCCACCCTCCTGCATTTCGGGACCCCACCGGTCCGGCCCAGGCTCACCTTGGAGGCCGCCCAGTCCATCCAGCCCTCGGCGCAGGGGTTCACGTTGATGAGCACCAGGCCCTCCACCATCTCGGGGTTGTTCAGCTGCAATGCAGACTCGCGGTGAGAGACAGCCCCGCTACCCGAGACGCCGTGAGCGTCACACGGCGAACGGGAGACAGAGCAGGACGGGAGGGGGCGCGCGTGGCCACAGAGCAGGCTGCTGCTCTCGGCGTCTCCAGCCCCTGCCCCGTGGGAAACGGAGGTCCCGGCTCAGGGGACGCCGGGCTGGGTCCCCGAGGGAATGGACCAGTCACTGCTCCTCGCTGCACCCTCAGCTGTCCTAGCTGTGAAATGGGTGCATCGCCCCACCAACTGCATAATCAGGCACACAAAGGCTCTTTAGAAATCAGAAAGGGTTCTGCTACATCTGGAAGAATATACATATCAGATAGGTAGGTAGGTAGATAGATAGATGAAAGAGAGAGAGAGAGAGGGAGAGGGAGAGAGGGAGAGAGAGGGAGAGGGAGAGGGAGAGAACAGACAGACAGATGGAAGGTTTAGACCTAGTTTTATCTGCCCGGGGCCTGGAGAGCCAGACCACGTTGCATCACGTGAGCATTCCTCCCCCTGGGCCAATCCCAGCATGCAGCACTCAGAATACAGAAGGTTACAAAAAATGAGCATGGCTGCATTTTCAAACCACTGTTTGGGGAGGCGGCGAAGGGCCCAGGAGCACTGACTTGGGCCGGCAGTAACGTGAGCGACAATTGTCACGTTAGCACGGGTGTCTCTGGTTCTCGGTTAGAGCCAGTCGGGAGCCCAGAGGCCTGACTCCAAAAGCTACCAAGGAAGTAGCGGGGGCACACAGGGGACCTGCCACAGCGGCTGCTAAGCAAAGATGGAAGACGACAACTAGGATGGCAGGTCAGTGCAGGAAAAAGGGAAGCGCGCACGCGTACACACACACACACACACACACACACACGCACACACACACACACACACTGTGGACCACACACGCTGTGGTTCTCCCCGGGGAGATGGAAGGATGGGTCATTTCTCTTGCCCTCTGGGGATTTTTGAGGCTTGTCCAATGTTCTTCCTTCACCTTGAATTAATTTTACTTAAAACATCATTTTTTAGAAATGCTGGAGCACTCACAGCAAACCGAGTGAGAATGTAGGCGCCGGCCCCAGTGCCCATGCCAATGACGCTCTTCACCCTGCAAGAAAGAGAGCTGACGTCACGGGAGAGGCGAGCGCCAGGGCCTGAGCCCCCTCACGGCCTCCCCCGCGTCTCCCCCGGGTCTGTCCCGGGTGCCACTGAGGAAGGCTCGCAGCGGCGGGCACCGCTGCCCTGCTGGGCCCTGCAGACGGACACGCATCACGCTGTAGGGACTGAAAGAAGCCGCGACCTTGAGGGACTCGTCCCACTTCCTCCCTCTCTCCTGCCCGCCCGGCACTGACGGGAAGACCATGACCGCGTCTTCCCGCTCCCGAGCTCTATTCTGGATTCGACAACTTGGCATGAGAATAAACCAGGCAAGACGCCTGAGTGCCATCGTCACAGCAAAGGCTCATGGAAGGAGGAAATGAGCATGGCGGGAGAGGGGCCCGGGGAGAGAGGAGTGGAGGGCTCAGGCAATCCCGAACGTTCCAGAAGATTCCATGGAAAGAGAAGGCAATGAAAGAAGAGAAAGCAGGAAAGGATGGGGGGCGCCTGTCTTCGGGAGAAGAGCCCCGCCCGCAGGAAGCAGAGGGTACAGGGAGGAAGTGGAAATCAGTGAGACAGGGAGCCAAGTGCATTCTCCCCTGAGCTTCCCACGGCAGCCTGGCCTGGCCGGCGTGGCTCAGGGCCTGAGCATTGACCTATGAACCAGAAGGTCACGGTTCGAATCCCAGTCGGGGTGCATGCCCAGGTTCCAGGCACAATCCCCAGCTTGGGCGTACAGGAGGCAACCCATGTTTCTCTCAAAATGGATGTTTCTCTCTCTCTCCTTCTCCCTTCCTTTCTGAAATCAATAAAAATATATATTTCAACTGCAGCCTGTGTCAGGGGTCAGGCCAGATGGAGGCTAAAGGAAAAGGCGGTGCGGGCCTGGGGAGGGTGGCAGGGGGCGGGGCAGGTCCCTCACTCTTACCCAAACTGGTGCAGGACTCCCGGCAGCATCTCGGCCAGCTGGTCCATGGACGGGTACATGTACCTGGGGAGAAGCCACACAGGGGAGTCAGCGAGACCCCGGACCCCAAGGAAATGATCAAAGTCAGCAGGAACAGGCTGGAAGGGGCGGGACCATGGCGCAACCTGGCCCAGGTGTGCCGACGCCCCATAGCGCCCCCAGGTGGCCCTCACTGCAAACACCCCTCAGGGCACACAGCCTTTTCTGATGAGCAAGAAGGTCTCCATCCCTCCTTCTCCATCCTCCTCTCTGAGAAGTCACCCTTTACGACTGCTTCCTGTGCACCAGGCCCGCCGCCCCAAGCATCGGGTGAGCTCTGTACACTCGCTCAAGCCCTGTGACAATGCGATGGGGTTGCTATGGTCTCCCCCCATGTGAAGGCTGTATAAAGGGACTTGGATTCACAGAAGAGTATATTTTACCGCAATAAAAAAATAATAAAAAGAAAATCCAGCCTAGCGCCTCCCCCGCCACCTGCTTCCCCCTGCGAGGCTTTCCTCCCCCGCCCGGGGCACGGGGCTCCCCACTCACCCCACGGGGAAGGATGGGGCGCTGTCCTGCTGGCCGGGGGCGTCCACGTGGCAGACAGCGAAGTGCTGGGTGATCTCCTGCATGTCCTCGGAGTTGAAGAGGGGGTTGTAGCAGGTTTTGTCTGCAGGGGGCGGGGAGACGGTAGAGGGGGTGAGGAGGAGGTGAGGAGGGGTGAGCTGGCTTGCTCCCTGCAAAGCGCGTGCCTTTTTGTGCACTGCACTCCTATTCAGCAGGCAGGAACGGACTCACAGCAAGGACGCTCATCTTTTGTCCCCTGCCCCACTTTCCCGTGGCGATCGAAGGCAAGCACAGGCCATGGGAGGCAGTGTGTGCGGAGGTGGAGGTGGAGGTGGCCCACAAACTGGACTGTACCCCCCCCCCCGGCGGTGGACCTTCCAGTTCGACCCCACGAGGGGCCTCCTGCTTCTTTCCCTGTCACTCATGACCATGGTGGCTCCGGCAGGAGGCGGGGTCACTCCCCTGGCATGCTCTTTCTCCCTGCGTTTCCTAAACTCTCATGTCGGAGACACACTGATCAGGGCATGGGAGCTTTTCAAACACGGAGGAGGAGCATCGGAGATAAAGCACAGACCTCCCTTCTGATAGGATTGTGGCTGACAGTCTGAAGCCAAGATGGCCAGCTTTTCTTCCTGGGCACACAGCTGGACTACATTTCCCAGCCTCCCTTGTACTTGGAGGCAGTCACGTGACCGGGTTCTGGCCAATAGCATGTGATGTTTGCTGCTTCCTCCTAACACCTGCTCCCCAATCCTCCTCTAGGTTTCTGTCTCTTCTGCCAGATGCAGGGGAGGGAGCCAGCAGAGGCTCCGGGGGACGGCAGAGCCACAGCTGAAAGGAGCTTGGGCCCCCGAATCACTACGTGGAAGGGGCCACACCAAATGCCCCCACCGATGTGTTAAGTGAGGGAGAAATACAGAAAATGGTAGGGAGCCACAGAAGTTCCGGGCCTTTTGCTCCAGCAGCTGGCTTACTCTACCCCTGAGCCTCTCTAACACGGATGCACTGCACCACCTGCAGTTCCCTCCCCTCCCTGGGGTCCAGGGAACAGAGCTGACCTCTATCCAAGCACCTAGTGAGGCGTCTGATCCGTAATGGACACGGGGGACACGCGGGCGGAAGTGAGGTCAGAGACGTGAGGGTGGAGGACATAACTGGTTTTCGGAGACTGACATCATCTCCAGCCTCAAGGGCATTCAAGAACTGGGGGGGGGGGGGGGGGGGAGCCACCGTGTTTCCCCGAAAATAAGACATCCTCCAAAAATAAGACCTAGCGCATGGAAAGATAAGACATCCCCTGAAAATAAGACCTAGTTCAACTCTAGGAGAAACAGTTATATAAGACACTGACTTATTTTTGGGGAAACAGGGTAGGCAGTCTGTCCATCAAAAACAGAGCACGTATTCCGCTTGCAATGCGCAAGTTTACAGAGAGCACTGGGCCGGGGCGGCCTGCAAGTGCCTTCTGAGCCCTCCCAGGAGGCCTCAGCTCCATCTGCGTCACGTGAACACGACGTAGCTTCATTCTGCGTCATTTCCAGTCCCGCTGTGGGACACGGGGAGCCCAGATGGGTAGCATCTGGGAAATTCTCAGCCTAAGCATTCACAGCCCCGGTACTCAGAAGGGCCAGGACGCGGAAGCAAGGATGTCCACTGACTGAAGAATGGGCAACACGCGTGGTCTCTCCGTGCGAGGGAAGATCACCCGGCAAGAGACAAGCTGCCCTGACATGTGCTAGGTGTGGGGGAGCCCTGCAAACAGCATGCAAGGAGCCGGTCACGGAAGACCAGGTGACGTGTGACTCCATGGCTCTCAAATGTCTGGGAAGGCAGGTCTTCCCAGACAGAAAGTACACAGTGGTGGCCAGGGGCCGGGGGTGTTGGAAATTGGGGGCGATGGGTAAGACAACGGGATTTTTTTTTTTTTTTGAGTAATAATGTGCATAAGCGGATTGTGATGGTGATGGTTGCACAACTCCTCAAACACTGAAAACCATTGTACTCCTCCCTTAAAAGAGGTCACTGTCACCCAGATAGACAGACGGCGGGGGGTAGCTCCCTGAGTTCCCAGCAGCCCCTGGCACACAGACAGCGCCGTGCCTCTGTGCACCGCATTCTAGAACCTTCCAGTCTGTGGCAAGAGTACTAACCAGAACAGCTCCGGGAAGGCCCAGCCAGAGAGGGGCAGTGGGCTCCCTGCCCCCGGCCCTTCCCACCCCCCCTTCCCCTGCCCCCGGCCCTTCCCATCCCCCCTTCCCCCCCTCCCGGGGCGGGGGCAGGCCCGCAGCGACACGGGCCCGGACGTACGGTTCATGCCGATGTCGTGGTAGGTGAGGATGACGGGCCGGCTGCCCCGGGGGGTCCCGCACAGCGTGACGTGGATGGAGCCATGCAGCGTCTCGACGTCCTGCTCCTGCGGAGGGACGGCAGGTGGAGGGGCGGTCATGGGGGGTGTGCGGGCCGGCGTGGCTCACACCTGCCGGGACCCCAGCGTCCCCCCGCCTGGAACACAGCTCCTGAGCACACGCCCAGGGCCTCGCCGCTGGACAGAGGGCACTGGGCACTGGGCGGCAAAGCGAGGCCCCGAGGGCCCTAGCTGAGGTCAGGGAGGGGGAGAGGCAGAGCTGAAGGAGAGCAAGAGGTTTAATCCACAAAGGGCCCCGGGGCTGGGCTGAGGGGACCAGGCAGGCTCCCATCCTGTGAGTGCCATGGCTGTCCATCTGAGGGACATGACCAGATCGCCTTGCTTTTGGCGGGACTTTTCCGATTTTTAACAAGTTTTCCCGAGTCGCTGGAAAAATTGTTTAAAAATCGGAAAAGTCCCGCCAAAAGCAGGACAATCTGATCACCTTCGATGGGGAAAGAAGGAAGGGGAGGAAGGGAGGGAGGAAAGGAAGGAGGAAAGGGGGCGGGGGGGAGGGGGGGGGGAGACTAACCCCAATTCCCAGGCTCCCCCTCCAGAGCAGGAAAGGGCATCACCTCTCTTTCAACAAGAACCCACTTCCTGTCAAGCCCCAGGCAGAGTGACGGGCGTCCCCCGGCCCACCCTGTGAGGCCCCCCGGCGGGCAGGCCGGACGCCGGTATAGGGGGCACCTCTCCCCGCAGCCCTTGCCTTTGGGAAACGGGCCCTCACGGAGCCTCGTGGTGAGACAGGGGAAGCCTGCGTGCTTCTGGCCTGATGCTGATGGGGGTAAACAGGGCTCAGCCTGGGGAACCCCAGCTCCCCAGCCCAGGGGTGCTCCTGGGCCACTGAGCACGGAGCCTGCCCGACGCCCTGACCCCCTCCCCCCATGCCCAGCCCTGCGCTCCCGCTGTGGAAACATTGGAAAAACCCAGACCCTAAGGCAACGGCCCAGCTCCAGGGGGGCCTGGATCATCTGCCAGCCCAGCCGGGCCCTGGAGCTGCGGCAGGAACAATAGTCCATTGTGGGGGCCACACTCCCCGTTGTCTCCCCAGGGACCCCCAGGGCGCCCTCTGAAAACAGGCCTGGCCAGGCAGCGCCCCACTAGCCTGGGACACCAGGGTTCAAACCCAAGTGCCACCCTCCCCAGGCCCTGAGCCCAGGTCAGCACCTGCACCAGGACAATAAGGGGCAGGCACCTCCCGCTGGGCAGGGAAGGCCTGAGACAGGGAGTGGGGTGCAAATACTCACTGGCTCCCTCCCTCCCTCTTCCAGGGGGGGGGCCTTCCCCAACCTCCGCACCTGGAGCACAGGGGGAGGGCTGAGTCACGAAGCACCTGCCGGCTCGGGAGATGCTCGGATTCTATCAATAGGATTGCAGCCGAAGAAAACAAGCCGGAACCCAAAACACTCCCACCTACTCCCCTCAGCACGTTTGCAAACACAACGGCCAGGAACCTGACGCCAGACCGTCTCCACAAACCAGATCCCAGAGTCACCGTGCCCACCTCCCAGGGCTCCGGGGCCTCCCCAGGGGCCAAGGCAGGGTCCTGGGGGCAACTGGCAGAACCCACGTGCCCGGGCACCCAGCGATTCACTTTAAAACGTCACCCGGGCCAAAACAACGGCCCGCCCCACCGGGACGCCAGCTGGGAGAGAGAAGGGGAAAGGCCCTCTGCTCTGGCGGCTGCGCGGTCCCCCGAGGCAGGCCACCGGCCACCGGGCGCGGACCCTCCCCCGGCGTCTCTGCTGCTGGGCTGATGGCTGTGCCAGTGGCCGGCAAACTCATTCACCCACAGAGCCAATTATCAACAGCACAGCGACTGAAATTTCTGTGGAGAGCCGAAAACCGACTTCTGCGAGTGGGCCACGAAGTTTCGATCGCATTGTACGTGCGCGCCCACGCGTGGTATTTTGTTAAGGTGACCAGACGTCCCGATTTTTAACAATTTTTTGTCCCGCGTCCCATGGCAGGACAGATTGTTAAAAATCGGGACGCCTGGTCACCTTATATTTTGTGGAAGAGCCACACTCAAGGGGCCAAAGAGCCGCATGTGGCTCGAGAGCCACAGTTTGCCTACCACGGGGCTGTTCTGAGTCACGTGCGTACCCATGCTTGACCGCTTCGGGGAAGCAAGAACGAGTCAGCCTGAGTCGGCACCAAGTATTTTCCAAGAAGCAGCGCTGGCTGCTCTCAGACACACAGTGTGGCCGCTCTGACCCCTAAACTCGACTCCCAAGGACCCGGCCAGATGGGCGTCTCCCGGGGCCGGGAGAAGCCACTCGAGGAACAGATGTGAGCGGGTCCCCATCGGACGTTTGGACTCGAGTTCCACGCCGGCTCCCCCTCAGAGGGGGCGTTCGTCCCTGAGTCCGTGCAGGTGGCCCGCCTGGGCAGAGGGGATTGATGGGAAGAGCAGAGGTGAGCGGGGTCCATCCCGGGGAGACAACAGGGCTGGGTCAGACAGAGGCCATGGGTGAGCCTCAGTTTCCCCATCTGTAACGGAGGGCTGATGGTTCAGGTCCTGAAGGACTCAGCGGGAGAGCAGGGGAAAGCCTGGCCTGGCTCATCAGAGGACCCGACGTCCTAGCGGGCAGAAAATGGTCATTGTGTCCCCGGGCTGGGGGACCTGGCCGCCTCCCTGGACCCAGGCCCCATCCCTCTCCGCCCCAGTCCTGCAGGCAGTCCCTGTTAGGGCACCGAGCACATCAATCACAGCGTCTTCCAAGGGAAATCCTACGTGACCCCAGGCGCGACGCCGGGAACTCCTGGAAAGCCGGGGAACTTCCACGAGCACCGTGAGTCAGCCCGTCCCGGAGCCAGACCCAGCGCAACGCCGCTTTGTACACAGACGGGAATTGGCGTTGATGGAGCGTCACGCAGCAGCCACCATCCGCTCCGAGCTGAGGCTCGCGGGGAAGGCTGCGCCCACCCACAGCCGCAGGGAGAGCTCACTCGCCTGGGGCAGGCTGGGAACCTGACCGAGGGGCCTCTGCCTGGACCCACCCGCCCCTAACCTTCTCCGGTCACGTGCCTGGCTCCATCTGTCATTCGGGTCTCGGCTCAATGTCACCTCCTCCAGAAGCCTGACCCAACCCTCAACCTCAGGCCACCCCACCACATTTTACCAATAAAAACAACGGCACAGCTGAAACCGGTTTGGCTCAGTGGATAGAGCATCGGCCTGCGGACTGAAAGGTCCCAGGTTCAATTCCGGTCAAGGGCATGTAGCTTGGTTGCGGGCACATCCCTGGTGGGGGGTGTGCAGAAGGCAGCTGGTCAATGTTTCTCTCTCATCGATGTTTCTAACTCTCTATCCCTCTCTCTTCCTCTCTGTAAAAAAATCAATAAAATATATATTACTGATTTTTTTTTTTTAAACAAGGAAAGATCTTCCCTGGGAGCAGAAAGACAATGTTTTCCAGTTTCTAAATCAATCATCGAGAAGGCAAAAATCAATCGACACTAACCCCAGGACCCAAGAATGCCACTTCCGGGCCTGGGGCCAAGAGAATGAGAAACGGGGACTCAACTAGGCACTTGTGCACCCATTAGTCACAACAGCCAGAAGGGGGCAGCACCCCGAGCGTCCTCTGACAGAGGAGTGGATGTCCCACGGGGGGCCCACCCACAGGATGAAACGTCCCCCAGCCTCGGAGGAAAGGGGACTCTGGCTCACGCGGCAGCGCGGACGGGCCCTGGAGACACTGCGCGAAGTGAAAGAAGCCAACCGCAGAGGGGTAAGTGGTGGAGGACTCCACTTACGCGAGGCACTCAGAGTCTTAAAATCATAGCGACAGACAGGAGCGTGGCGGTTGCCAGGGACTGCGGGGAAAGAGACACTGGGACGTAGTGATTAATGGGGACTTCGCTTCGGTTCACAAGATGGAGAGTTCTGCAGATGGGGGGTGGCGACGGCCGCCCCAAAATGTGGGCATACTGAATGCCACCCACTGACGTGTACACTTAACAATGGTTCAGATGGTACACATCCTGTTATATGTACTTAACTGCATACACACACACATATACTCACACACATACACACTGGAGTGAGTAGACAGGGGGTGTTACTGACCCATCACTGATGGGGGGAACATGATATCGGGGTCCCCGCCGTTACTGTCCTCTCTCCACCGCCATTTAAATAAGAGTGGGGTGGGGGTGCCGAAATCAGTTTGGCTCAGTGGATAGAGCGTCGGTCTGCGGACTGAAAGGTCCCAGGTTCGATTCCGGTCAAGGGCATGTACCTTGGTTGCAGGCACATCCCCGGTGGGGGGTGTGCAAGAGGCAGCTGGTCGATGTTTCTCTCTCATCGATGTTTCTAGCTCTCTATCCCTCTCCCTTCCTTTCTATAAAAAATCAATAAAATATATTTTAAAATAAATAAATAAATAAATAAATAAATAAATAAATAAATAAATAGGAGTGGGGTGATTTGCCCTATTTCACGATGAGGAAACTGAGGCCAAGGGGAGGAGCGGCAACTTGCTCTGCGTCAGAGAGCCAGGAAAAGGCCAACCTCTGCTTGCCTGGACATCCAACTCAGGTAGACACTGTGCACCCATCATTCACCGCAGCCCCTCTCCTCCTCATTCCCCTTCACCCAAGGGCAATGCCCAGAGGCCCAGCCTCTGGACACGGGTGGGGGGGCCAGCCCCTGAAATAGGGGGTCCAGGAGGAAGTGCGGAGTTGTCAGGCGGGAGGGAGCAGCGTAGGTGATGGAGATGCAGAGCTCCGAGGGGCTGGAGGCAGGGGAGACGGGGTGATGTGCACCGGCCTGCACCTGCTCCTGTCCTCCCTCCTCTCCGGGAACCCCGCAGGGCCCCATGTGCCCCGGCCTCCTGTCCCACCCCAGGGCCCAGCGCAGCTTGGGGCTCCCACAGACTTCGGGGTCTCTAAAGAGCCCAGGAACGACAGGTCCTGAGGTTCTGACCTGCCCCTTAGCCAGGAGAGGCCAGCCCGCTGTCCTGAACGTGGTTCTGGGACAACACTCAAGAGGCAGCCACTGCCCACCGCCCCGAGGCCAACCCCGAGCAGCCAGGGAGCCAGGGGGCCACAGAGAAGCCGGAGTTCACTTTCCCAGGCAGAGCCGAGAACACCTGCTCCCTCCCATCGCAGGGGCCCAAACCCACCCAATGCCCCCATCCCCCACGCTCCCCACGCCCCTGCCCAGATCGATAGCGGCCAGGGGGGCCGTGGGGACTCCTTGGCCAGAGCTCCAACCAGCTGCTCTGCAGGGAGGAGCCGGTGTGGGAAGCTAGCTCCCCCTCTCCCCTTGCCCCCATGATCTGAAACATGACCCACTTCGCACCAGCGGGAGGCGGAGGGAAAGAGAAAGCGGAGTAGGAGGGGGAGGGAGTCCAAATCCCCTACTTGCCTGAACATCAAACTCCTGCAGGAGGCCGGTGATGGTCTGTGGAGAGAGGAGAGCGATGGTCAGTTTCACCAAGGATCCTTCTCCTCCAAGCTCTGCGCCCGTATCAACCCTCCCTCCTCTGCACAGCTGCCCTAATCCCTTCCGAAGGGAGGCCTTTCATCTCAAACAACAGTCCCGCTGGAAGGGAGACACGTCAGCTGGATTCCTCTGTAACTACTCTGTTGCCTTGGTGTAAAAAACGATCTGAGGGTCCCAGCTGACCACAAGCCTGTGAAAGGCAAGACCATCGTCATTACCTGTGGCCTGGTCTCCGGGCCGCCGCCCTTGTGCTACACTTTTAAATCTGAAGCCCGACCATGCCCCTCTCCTCGCATATCTTCCCTGGCTGCCCGTCTACAGGATGAAAACTCAGTCTCTCGCGTGGACACGGAGAACAGAGACCTCTGCACGTTTTCCTCGATCCTCCGGTTCTGTTTCTAGCCCGCACCCCATCTCGCACCAGAGCTATCCAGATGTGGAGCACGCACAGCGAACAGCATGGGCCGGCGGACAATGGCCCGCCACCTGCTTTTGTCAATAAAGTTTTATTGGAACCCAGCAAGCCCGTTCACTTCCATGTTGCTACGGCTGCCTCCCTGCTGTAATGGGGAAGCTGAGTGGCTGCCATGACGGCATGGCCCGCAGAGCCTGCAGCAGTTACGACGTGACCTTTACAGAACAGGCGTGCGGACCCTGAGTGTGAAATCATAACAAGGGCTTGGCAGCTTCTAAACTCAGCTGCCCCCTCCCTCCCCACCCCCATCCTCCACCCGGGCAGCTGCCCTCCCATCAGAGGTCAGTGTCTGTGTCTGTACAACACAGAAGGGAAAGCCTGTGACAGCACTGGCCTAAACCAGAGCGGCCACTCCCAGCGCCACCAAGGGAACCGGTGAGCAGTCCGTTCGCAGGGGCAGCTGGCCTGGTGTGGCTCCAGGTCCCGTGCCCAGAGTAACTACGTGACCGAGGACAAATTAAGCTCCTCGAGACTTAACTTCCTCTTCTGTGAAACGGGAACAGTCCCAGAACCCCGTTTCCATCCGGCTGTTCGCACGAGAGAACCCTTGGGGCGTGGTGGCCCGGGTTCGCAGCAGGGCCTGGTCTCCATGCAAATTCCTGCTCGAAGGGCATCTGGTCGACCTTAGAACAGGTCTGGGGACTGGATGCCCGAGGGTCATGTAAGGCCCTGGAAATCGTGTGGTCTGGCCCTGCCAAGGCACTGGGGTGAGTTCACTAAACGCTGCAGGCTGATTTCTAAGTTGACATTCCGTAGGGCCCGAGAATGATGTGATAAATATCCAGGTGGCCTGGGGGGGGAGGGGGAATGGTGCCCACCCCAGCCTTAGGGTCACTTCCCTTTCGAGCCTGAACTTCACATTTTTGAAAAGAGGGGCATCGTCACAGGCAGTTTTACCGCTCGGTGAGAGCTGGGAAGGGAACACAGCTTAAAACACGATGTCACTCTCACAGCAAGTGTAAAGGCTCGTGGCGTTTCCATAAATGTAAATCCATAGTCAGAACGGCCAGCCCAGGAGGGACCTGCCCTCTCTCTCACGCGGAGGCCTGGCTGACGGGAAAGGTTTGGCCGAGAAGATGATAAGAACTGACACAGCGGGAGCTCCAGGGCTCAGCTTATCTCCTCTGCGCCAGATGAGGTTCCAGGTCCGAGCTGCTTCATATCGGCGGCCCACGCCATCCTCACCGGGGCCCAGGACGTAAGGCCCAGTGCCACTGGCGTACAGCCGGGGACTGGAGCATAAAGGCGGAAGCATTTGCCAGCGGTGGACACGGAGCTGCCGAGGGTCACGGCCAGCATCTGAAGCCAGGCGGGCCCCAGGGGTGGGGTGTGACCTTCACCTCGAAACATGGGGGCAGACAGGGCCTGAGGGCAGTGGGCTTTCGGCCGCGTGTTCTAGAACCACAGATGTCAGAGGTAGGGGGCACCTCGAGGAGCTCCAGTTCAAGGCCCTTCTTTGCTCATGGGGTCAGGGAGGTGTGGGCAGGGGCCGGGCCCGCAGTGCCAGAGCACGCAGCGGCCACGCTGGGCCTGGCACGGTACCTTTGCCCCTCTGCACACCTGGACAAGGAGACCCGGGGAAACAAGGAAGTCGTGCACACGTGTGTGCCTGTGTCCATGCTGTGCACACGCGTGTGCCTTGCATGGCTGTGCATGGGACGGGGGGACCGGGAGCTTCTCCACTCACCTCCCCTTTCTCCACCAGAGGCTTCACCTCGGCCAGGTCCACGTCCTGCAGCTCCCGAGACATATCGTTGCTGTCACCTGCCTGGGAGGGGACAAAGGCCAGGAGTCAGCACTTCCTGCTGAGGGATGGTTCCAGAAGGAAGCAGATCCGGGGCTAGAAAACACGCCCTCATTCTGCCCCACAGCTTCTACCTTCTGTACCTGTCACCAGGCCCCTCCTACAGTCACCGGGCCCCTCCCACAGGTCACCGGGCCCCTCCTACAGTCACCGGGCCCCTCCTACAGTCACCGGGCCCCTCCCACAGGTCACCGGGCCCCTCCCTCAGTCACCGGGCCCCTCCTACAGTCACCGGGCCCCTCCCACAGGTCACCGGGCCCCTCCCACAGGTCACCGGGCCCCTCCTACAGGTCACTGCGCCCCCCCCCCCAATACCCACATCACCACCTCAGCCTTGCCCCTGAGACAGAACTGAGGCTCATGGACACAACCACCTTTCTAATGAAACAGACAAATGGATTCTTAAAACCAGTCCTCACATCTAGTCCGCCCCCACCACCCGATTTCTCGCTGCATTTTGGAAGGAGACCCACACCCCCAGGTTGACACCCAAAGGGGACAGGAAGTCGCGGGAGGCCCCCCGTGTGCATGCATGGCACACACTTCCTCCTCCGTGAGCCTCCGAATGTCCCCAGCAAGGGGCCTGCCAGGTGGAGGTGGAATTTTCAAACCGAAGGAGCCAAAGCAGCTGGGGTGGGGCCAGAGGAGGCCCCGGGGCTGGGGCACGGCAGGAGCAGAGGACAGGGGACAGCGCAGAGCGGGGGAGGCACAGGGTCCCGGAGGGTGGACCTGCCGTCACCCCCTCCCCAGGAGCCGGGCTGGGGCGGGGCAGGCACTGAGCACACACACGCCCGGAGCTTGGTCTGGGAGCTGGAGATAGAAACGTTTTGTATTCTCTCAGATAACGGGCAGTGAAGCCCCCACCAGCACCGGGCGAGGCACACAGGCCCGGAGCGAGGGTGAGCCAGGCACGGAGGGAAGCGGCAGGGGGCCGGGTGTCCCCCGCACAGACCTGGCCTCCCGCATCCGGGACCGACCGGCAACCTCCCACACACCTGGCCGGCGAGGCCCTCCACTGTCAGGCTCCAGAGCAGAAACCCAGGCCCCCAGCTCCCCAGGGCCCCACAGATGCCACGCCGGAGACAGTGCAGCCTCTGAGACCCCAGCCAGCTGGGCTGGTGCAAGGCCCAGCACCCGGGACCCCTAGACCCTCCCAGTGAGGCCTCTCCGAGGCGCTGACACATGGCATTCTGAGAAAGATCCCCTGCGATGGTCTGGTCTGGGAACCCCCCGTATATAACTCCCCCCAGCCCATCACCGGCCCCACAAGAATGCCTTTATGCAGCCTTTGGAGTCCAGGTTCCAGAACATTCCGAAAACAAAGTCCTTTTTATGTCTGCGCGCATTCCTGGGCTGCGGCCAGCCCGGAGGCCGGAGGCATGAAAAGCCGAGGTCTAACAGCCTTGCTAACTCAGCGTGTCCGTGGTCCCGAGACCCTGGCCCCACAGCCACCTCGCCTACACCGCCCAGAGAGCCTTCCAGAAGCCCAGGCAGCTCCGGCCCTCCTGCAGAGAGGGGCAGGACCCAGGGTGCAATTGCCCTGGCAGGGAGGGCGGGCCGGGCCCAAGGCTGCCCGCACCGGGCAATGGGCAGGGAGACAGCTGGCTGCCCCGTCCTGCCAAGCTGGGCCGGGTGAAGGCCAGCACCTGCCCTATCTCAGTTGCCTTGAACTCTGCAAACGTGTGTGTTTTCTGAGGCTGTTTGTCTAAAGCAAACCTTATAAGGAAGTTCGATATAGAAAAACAGATTTACATACACCCTTCCCCATCCCCCCCAAAAAAAGGGGAGGGGGAGCAGACATGCTTTGGATGAAGTGGGGGGGGGGAGCTTAACACCCCCAGCAGCCCTGGCTCCCCCTCCCTCCCACCTGCTCCTACCCCATGAGCCAAGACCTGGCCTCAGAGACCCCTGGGGTTCCGGAAGCTCAGTTCATGCTTCCTGGGCCAGACCCTCCTGTGCCCAGCACTGAGCAAAGCCCCGTAACAGACTATGGCCAGGGCCCCGCCATGTGGCAAGCAGGGGTGTGGCCGTGAGCCAGCAGCCCGGGTCCTGCCCGCCGAGCTCCCATCTCCTGGGGCAGGTACTCCCCTGGGGTCCCCGCACCGCCCACTCAGGACCAGTCGGGACGGGCTACCCCACGAGGCCACGCTGTCCTGCAGGCTGGGCAGACGTGGCCTCCGTGACCATTCCCCACCCCGGCCTGCCCACCTGGCCTGGGGGACACTCGGAGGCGGAGGCTGGAGCCACACGGCAGGGTCAGCAGCCCCTGGCCGCGGCCCCCAAGTGCCAATAGCACACACACCCTCCCTCCCCACCCCGGGGAGAACCGAAAACACCCGGGCACTTTGCCAAATGCCCTCTGGGGGCAAAACCACTGGTTAGCAAACACTGGCCGAGGGCGGCTCCTGGTAGGAATGCAGAGATCTGGTGGATCAGACTCTTATTCAATCTCCTGTGCCTGCACACTCTCACACTCTCACACTCATACACTCTCACATACTCACACTCTCATGAACTCACACTCACACTCACACTCACACTCACACACACACACACACACTCACCCTCTCACACACTCTCTCTCTCACGCACTCACACTCACACACACTAACACTCTCTCTCTCTCTCACTCACACACTCACACTCACACTCACACACACCCTCACACACTGACCAGCTGCAGGTTCTGAGGACCAGGCTGAAGTCCCAGGGGATGGGGGCACGTCACCAGAGGGGTCAGCACAGGTGGGCGGCCGGGACGGAGGGGCCGCTATGGGTGTCACACTCTTCCTGCTGCGTCTCGCTCTCCCTCCAGAAGGGTGGCTGCTGGTTCAAACCCACGACCCCAAGGCCAGGAGGCCCACGGGAAGGAGCAGGTTTCACACAGACGCTGCCTGGTAGGCAGGGCTGATCGCCTTCACCGGGAGGGGGGGCAGTGGGGGCTCCCTGGTTTGGGGTGCTCCCTTGATGCCCCCCTCCCATCGTCCACACCCGGGGGTCACCCCCGCCCTCACGGCCCTGCTCGCTCAGCAGGCTCTCCCCTGGGCGGAGGCCGAGCGCTGGATGCCACCCCCCTCGCCGCCTCCTGGAAAGTCCCAGCCCAGCATGTCGGCTGAGAAGGGCCAAGGTCATCGTCGTTCAGCAGACAGTGGCAAGGCCCGGCCACACGGGCGCCGTGGGTAGGAGCCCAGATGTCCCCTCCCGGCCTCCTGCTCCGGGCAGGAGGGTGGATGTGCGGTCCCTCCAGGAAGCGCAGGCGAAAGCCCCTCCGGACAGTGAGTTAGTCAGGACCGGGCTCCTCCCGCCAAAACCCACTCGGTGCCAAAACCGGGCCCACGTCACATTGCCAGCTGCCAGCCGGGTTCCTATCACCATGTCTTCCTTTCGCTGTCTCTCTCCCCTCCCCCGGAAAGGAACTCAGAGAAAACCAACGTCCGACAAGTGGCAGGGGCCAGGAGCAAGGGGAAGCTTGGAGGGTCAGACCAGGCTGTCGTCAGTTATTGGGTCTGTGATTCCCACCAAGCTAGCTGACCTCTTAGCCTCGGTTTGCTCATCTGTAAAATGGGCCTAAGTAACCCTGCTCCCAGTGAGCACCAGGAGGGCACAGAGAACCTGCTGCATAGCTGCTCAGTGAGCCTGTGCAGAGTCCCTTCCTGGTCGCTTCAGAGACCAAGGGCCTCTGTGCAGGCACAGCCTATGCTTCCTACGCCGTCAGCCCCACAGAGAGCCAGCAAAGACGGGGGGAGGGGGGAGACAGAGCAGACACCTGGCAAATGCCAGGTGAGTTTTCAACCATCAGACCTTGGGGGTCTCCTCTCCCTCAGCCAGGCTGGGTCCTGTGCCAGGAGGGCCCAGGGGATACTCCTCAAGGAGCTGGGCCTCCGGGTCCCAAGGGAAGCCAAGCCCGGGATTTGCCATGACCCGGAGGACCGAGGACAGCGGGCAGAGGCACCTCGGGCAAGCTGAGGCTGCAGGAGAGCGGTGAAGACTGTGGGGAGAGGGACACAGCCCACCATTCTCAAAGGCCGGGGCGGGGGGTGGGGACTCAGAGCAGCAGGAACCCTGGCTTGGGAGTCGGGCGTGGGAACGCGCCACCCTCTCGCCACATGACTTTGCCCGTGGCATTCACGCCCATCTGTGAACTATGCAGCCTGTGCTCCATGCCATCACATGGTCCGTGGGAACCGTGGACAAAGAGGTCGCGGACACGGGTCTCACCAGGGCCTGGCCCACTCGGCGCCGCCCGGATCTGCCTGGAGGTCCCTGTCCCGCTCCTGACCCCAGGCCCCTCGCCGTCTGCGAGACGGGAGCCTCCCTCCAGCTCGGGCACACACCTAGGGCACCCAGCTAGGCCCATGGTTGGCAAACTCTGGCTCGGGAGCCGCGGTTTGCCAAACACTGCCTTAGGCTGTGGGTGCCGGTGTGTGTGGGGGGGGGGGGCACGCCTCCAGAAGTCCTCCAATGAAGCAGAGGCAGAGGGCGGGAGAGCCTGCTGACACCCTGTGTCCATTGTGACGGTCAGCACCAGCCGGCTTTGTCCGCTGTTTGGAACTGTTTCCAGCCACAGTTCTTTCCAGCTCACTGGCGCTTCTAGGACCAGCTGGCAAGGGGCTCGGCATTGTCCCGGAAGGTTCCAGGGAACAGCGCCGGGTCCCCGGGGCCTCATGGGAAGTAGCCTGGGGTACGCCCGGGCCACCCCACCTTACTGTGGGTGTGCTCCTCGGTCCTTTCTCACCCAAAGAGGTTCTGGGGACAAGCTGCAGGGCCGTGCCTGGGGTTCTGGAGGCTCTGGACATTCCAAACCCGGGGCCTTCACGCTCAGATTTCTTTCTTTCTTTTTAAAAAATATGTGTTTATGGATTTCAGAGAAGCAGGGAGAGAGAGAGAAACATCCATGATGGGAGAGAACCAAGGGCCGGCTGCCTCCCACAAACACCACTCTGGGGGTCCAGCCCGCAACTGGG